TATTTTATTATTTCCATTCTACGTGACTTTACCGAAAGAACCAAGAAGATAAATATCTGCAGTCACGAAAGAAGCTTTAAATCGAAATATCACGCTGAATAGTAAACGCCGCGCAACGAAAATAATTTTGGAACTCATCGGATTCCTCCAGCAGAAGTAAAACATTCCGATTCTCAACTTGATGGACGCAGGTAACCCGTGACGTCATCCCGCACCGCGGCATCGATGTCACGGCGGTATCGATGACGTCACAGCGTTATTAGATGCGTCACGGCGGTATCGATGACGTCATAGCGTTGTCGGAGACGTCACGGCGGTATCAATGACGTCATAGCGTTATTAGATGCGTCACAGCGGTATCGATGACGTCATAGCGTTGTCGGAGGCGTCACGGCGGTATCGATGACGTCATAACGTTGTGGGAGGCGTCACGGCGGTATCGATGACGTCATAGCGCTGTCGGAGGCGTCACGGCGGTATCGATGACGTCATAGCGTTGTCGGAGGCGTCACGGCGGAATCGATGACGTCATAGCGTTATCGGAGGCGTCACGGCGGAATCGATGACGTCATAGCGTTGTCGGAGGCGTCACGGCGGAATCGATGACGTCATAGCGTTGTTGGAGGCGTCACGGCGGAATCGATGACGTCATAGCGTTGTCGGAGGCGTCACGGCGGTATCGATGACGTCATAGCGTTATCGGAGGCGTCACGGCGGTATCGATGACGTCATAGCGTTGTCGGAGGCGTCACGGCGGTATCGATGACGTCATGGCGTTGTCGGAGGCGTCACGGCGGTATCGATGACGTCATAGCGAAGTTACATGGCGAGACACGCGAGTGCATATTAGGGTTACTGCAATACGATTTTTCACGATTCGATGCGATTCCAAAGTTCACGATACGATGATTATTGCGACATCGGCGTCCCATAATTTTTGGTTTGTATCGTTTGCGCTCCGCTGTACCATCGGCAAACGACGGAAAAGTAAAAAATTTACTCGAAATTCTAGCTGGCAAGAGGAATCCATTATTTTTGTTGTTGGAATCATCAATACTTGAGGCCCAATGAAAAAAAAATCATTAGCCCCCCACAGCTTGTCTTCTGATGGCGGTAAAAAAAACAAACCTTACAAGCCAAGGCAAAGCTTTGGGCGCCATGGTGACCACGTGGTAACTACCTCGCCTGGTACGCAGGAGGTCGTGGGTTCAATCCCGACCCATACACCACAGTGGCTAGGAGATGTTGACTACCTCGCCTGGTACACAGGAGGTCGTGGGTTCGATCCCAACCCTGATGCTAAGGTGGCTAGATGTTGACTACCTCGCCTGGTATGCAGGAGGTCGTGGCTTCGATCCCAACCCTGATGCTAAGGTGGCTAGGAGATGTTGACTACCTCGCCTGGTGTACAGCAGGTCGTGGCTTCGATTCCAACCCTGACGCTAAGGTGGCTAGGAGATATTGACTACCTCGCCTGGTATGCAGGAGGACGTGGGTTCGATCCCAACTTTGACGACGCCTGCTGCTGTATACTTGGAGTTGCATCTCTAATCATCGTCACGGTGGCTAGGAGATGTTGACTACCTCGCCTGGTGTACAGCAGGTCGTGGCTTCGATCCCAACCCTGACGACGCCTGCTGCTGTATACTTGGAGTCTGCGTCTCTCCCTCTCCTCCGTGGTAGCGTGGATTGTTTTTCTCCAGGTCCTCCGTTTCTTCACTCCACATTTAGAATTTGTGCTCCTGCGATAGATTTCCCAGTTCGTTGGGCTATCGCTTGTGATGTCCAACTCGCTTCTGACGAAATAATAAATCGTCTTTAGTTGTCAGCGGCAGCTGCTGACGATTAGCGGCGATGTCACCAGCCCCCCCCCTGGCAATTACCTCCCGTCCAGCGGCACGTAAGACGGGGGCGACCACTCTTCAAAGCAAACCTTCGCGGGCATCTCAATTGTCCGCGAAAATGGAACCGAAGATTGGCAACGTGAAATCGACGGCTCGCAGATATTGGGGCCCACCCATCCCTGACGATGGAAACAGAAATAAAAAAAAGTCCCGTCAACCGCGCCGCGTCCACTCAACGGCGAGCCTTCAGCTGACCGTTGCGAGCCTTCAGCTGACCGTTGCGAGCCTTCAGCTGACCGTTGCGAGCCTTCAGCTGATCGTTGCGAGCCTTCAGCGGACCGTTGCGAGCCTTCAGCTGACCGTTGCGAGCCTTCAGCTGATCGTTGCGAGCCTTCAGCGGATCGTTGCGAGCCTTCAGCTGACCGTTGCGAGCCTTCAGCTGATCGTTGCAAGCCTTCAGCGGATCGTTGCGAGCCTTCAGCTGACCGTTGCGAGCCTTCAGCTGATCGTTGCAAGCCTTCAGCTGACCGTTGCGAGCCTTCAGCTGACCGTTGCGAGCCTTCAGCGGATCGTTGCGAGCCTTCAGCTGACCGTTGCGAGCCTTCAGCTGACCGTTGCGAGCCTTCAGCTGACCGTTGCGAGCCTTCAGCTGACCGTTGCGAGCCTTCAGCTGACCGTTGCGAGCCTTCAGCTGACCGTTGCGAGCCTTCAGCTGACCGTTGCGACATTGCGAGCTGACGCTTGGATCCCAGTCACCCCAGACACTTAAGCCCCTTGGCGCCAGGCGCTAGGATCCCAGTCACCCCAGACACTTAAGCCCCTTGGCGCCAGGCGCTAGGATCCCAGTCACCCCAGACACTTAAGCCCCTTGGCGCCAGGCGCTAGGATCCCAGGCACCCCAGACACTTAAGCCCCTTGGCGCCAGACACTAGGATCCCAGGCACCCCAGACACTTAAGCCCCTTGGCGCCAGACACTAGGATCCCAGGCACCCCAGACACTTAAGCCCCTTGGCACCAGACACTAGGATCCCAGGCACCCCAGACACTTAAGCCCCTTGGCGCCAGGCGCTAGGATCCCAGGCACCCCAGACACTTAAGCCCCTTGGCGCCAGGCGCTAGGATCCCAGACACTTAAGCCCCTTGGCACCAGACACTAGGATCCCAGGCACCCCAGACACTTAAGCCCCTTGGTGCCAGGCGCTAGGATCCCAGGCACCCCAGACACTTAAGCCCCTTGGCACCAGACACTAGGATCCCAGTCACCCCAGACACTTAAGCCCCTTGGCTCCAGGTGCTAGGATCCCAGGCACCCCAGACACTTAAGCCCCTTGGCGCCAGGCACTAGGATCCCAGGCACCCCAGACACTTAAGCCCCTTGGCACCAGGCGCTGGGATCCCAGGCACCCCAGACACTTAAGCCCCTTGGCTCCAGGCGCTAGGATCCCAGGCACCCCAGACACTTAAGCCCCTTGGCGCCAGGCGCTGGGATCCCAGTCACCCCAGACACTTAAGCCCCTTGGCTCCAGGCGCTAGGATCCCAGTCACCCCAGACACTTAAGCCCCTTGGCACCAGGCGCTGGGATCCCAGGCACCCCAGACACTTAAGCCCCTTGGCTCCAGGCGCTAGGATCCCAGGCACCCCAGACACTTAAGCCCCTTGGCGCCAGGCGCTGGGATCCCAGTCACCCCAGACACTTAAGCCCCTTGGCTCCAGGCGCTAGGATCCCAGTCACCCCAGACACTTAAGCCCCTTGGCGCCAGGCGCTAGGATCCCAGTCACCCCAGACACTTAAGCCCCTTGGCGCCAGGCGCTAGGATCCCAGGCACCCCAGACACTTAAGCCCCTTGGCGCCAGGCGCTGGGATCCCAGTCACCCCAGACACTTAAGCCCCTTGGCTCCAGGCGCTAGGATCCCAGTCACCCCAGACACTTAAGCCCCTTGGCGCCAGGCGCTAGGATCCCAGTCACCCCAGACACTTAAGCCCCTTGGCGCCAGGCGCTAGGATCCCAGGCACCCCAGACACTTAAGCCCCTTGGCTCCAGGCGCTAGGATCCCAGGCACGCCAGACACTTAAGCCCCTTGGCGCCAGGCGCTAGGATCCCAGGCACCCCAGACACTTAAGCCCCTTGGCGCCAGGCGCTAGGATCCCAGGCACCCCAGACAACTAAGCCCCTTGGCGCCACCAACAGGGGGGCTGTGTGTGCTCTGTGAGATATCTGGGGGCGCACACAGCCCCCCACCCCTCGTTGGGGACGAGGCATAAAAGGGCAGCTCCCTGGCCGATCGGGGCCAGTCGCAGCTCAAGACCCAAGGCCCGCCAGCCAGCCGGCTTAGGACCCTGGACCCCCCCCCCCCCTCGTCCCGCTTGTCCTTGTAAGGGCCGGGACGCTGTGTTGTATATTTGGAGTCTGTGGGACTCCCGGCTCTACGTCCTTGTGAGGGCGAGTTCCGAGGAAGCCAGAGTCCAGACCCGCACCTTGGCTGGGTCGGGTCAGGTAGCCTCCCCTAGGGTAGTTGTAGCCAGAGGACCCCAGAGCGTAGCTAGAGTAGGCTGTGTCCCTAGGCTGTGTTCCTAGGCTGTGTTCCTAGGCTGTGTACCTAGGCTGTGTTCCTAGGCTGTGTCCCTAGGCTGTGTCCCTAGGCTGTGTTCCTAGGCTGTGTACCTAGGCTGTGTACCTAGGCTGTGTTCCTAGGCTGTGTACCTAGGCTGTGTACCTAGGCTGTGTCCCTAGGCTGTGTTCCTAGGCTGTGTACCTAGGCTGTGTGCCTAGGCTGTGTGCCTAGGCTGTTTGCCTAGGCTGTGTCGCTAGGCTGTGTACCTAGGCTGTGTACCTAGGCTGTGTACCTAGGCTGTGTGCCTAGGCTGTGTACCTAGGCTGTGTCGCTAGGCTGTGTACCTAGGCTGTGTGCCTAGGCTGTGTACCTAGGCTGTGTGCCTAGGCTGTGTACCTAGGCTGTGTACCTAGGCTGTGCACCTAGGCTGTGTGCCTAGGCTGTGTACCTAGGCTGTGTCGCTAGGCTGTCTACCTAGGCTGTGTACCTAGGCTGTGTCCATAGGCTGTGTACCTAGGCTGTGTACCTAGGCTGTGTACCTAGGCTGTGTACCTAGGCTGTGTCCATAGGCTGTGTACCTAGGCTGTGTACCTAGGCTGTGTACCTAGGCTGTGTATCTAGGCTGTGTATCTAGGCTGTGTACCTAGGCTGTGTCGCTAGGCTGTGTACCTAGGCTGTGTCCATAGGCTGTGTACCTAGGCTGTGTACCTAGGCTGTGTACCTAGGCTGTGTACCTAGGCTGTGTTCCTAGGCTGTGTACCTAGGCTGTGTACCTAGGCTGTGTACCTAGGCTGTGTATCTAGGCTGTGTCGCTAGGCTGTGTACCTAGGCTGTGTCCATAGGCTGTGTACCTAGGCTGTGTACCTAGGCTGTGTACCTAGGCTGTGTACCTAGGCTGTGTTCCTAGGCTGTGTACCTAGGCTGTGTACCTAGGCTGTGTATCTAGGCTGTGTACCTAGGCTGTGTACCTAGGCTGTGTACCTAGGCTGTGTACCTAGGCTGTGTACCTAGGCTGTGTATCTAGGCAGTTGTCCTAGGCTGTGTACCTAGGCTGTGTACCTAGGCTGTGTACCTAGGCTGGTGTATCTAGGCTGGGTACCTAGGCTGTGTATCTAGGCTGTGTACCTAGGCTGTGTACCTAGGCTGTGTATCTAGGCTGTGCCTAGGCTGTGTTCCTAGGCTGTGTACCTAGGCTGTGTTACTAGGCTGGTAATCTAGGCTGTGTACCTAGGCTGTGTCTCTAGGCTGTGTTACCTAGGCTGTGACCTAGGCTGTGTACCTAGGCTGTGTACCTAGGCTGTGTCCTAGGCTGTGTCCTAGGCTGGTACCTAGGCTGTGTACCTAGGCTGTGTACTAGGCTGTGTCCTAGGCTGTGTACCTAGGCGTGTACCTAGGCTGTGTATCTAGGCTGTGTACCTAGGCTGTGTACCTAGGCTGTGTACCTAGGCTGTGTACCTAGGCTGTGTCCTAGGCTGTGTATCTAGGCTGTGTTACCTAGGCTGTGTACCTAGGCTGTGTACCTAGGCTGTGTTATCTAGGCTGTGTACCTAGGCTGTGTACCTAGGCTGTGTATCTAGGCTGTGTACCTAGGCTGTGTTCCTAGGCTGTGTACCTAGGCTGTGTACCTAGGCTCTGCTTGTACCCTAGGCTGTTTACCTAGCTGTGTATCTAGGCTGTGTACCTAGGCTGTGTCCTAGGCTGTGTACCTAGGCTGTGTACCTAGCTGTGTATCTAGGCTGTGTACCTAGGCTGTGTCGCTAGGCTGTGTACCTAGCTGTGTACCTAGGCTGTGTACCTAGGCTGTGTACCTAGGCTGTGTACCTAGGCGGTGTTCCTAGCTTGTACCTAGGCTGTGTACCTAGGCTGTGTATCTAGCTGTGTACCTAGGCTGTGTACCTAGGCTGTGTACCTAGGCTGTGTACCTAGCTGTGTACCTAGGCTGTATACCTAGGCTGTGTACCTTAGGCTGTGTACCTAGGCTGTGTAACCTAGGCCTGTGTAATCTAGGCTGTTTCCTAGCTGTGTACCTAGGCTGTGTACCTAAGCTGTGTATCTAGGCTGTGTACCTAGGCTGTGACCTAGGCTGTGTACCTAGGCTGTGGTACCTAGGCTGTGTCCTAGGCGGTTACCTAGGCGGTGTACCTAGGCTGTGTACCTAGCTGTGTACCTAGGCTGTGTACCTAGGCAGTGTTCCTAGGCTGTGTACCTAGGCTGTGTACCTAGGCTGTGTACCTAGGCTGTGTACCTAGGCAGTGTTCCTAGGCTGTGTACCTAGGCTGTGTACCTAGGCTGTGTACCTAGGCTGTGTTCCTAGGCTGTGTATCTAGGCTGTGTACCTAGGCTGTGTACCTACAGGCTGTATCAGAGTATCAGGACTGTTGGAGTGTTGTATTGTAATAAAGAAGTTACCTCTACAAGTGTCTCCGGAACCCGTTACAATAGTACAAAGATTAAATGAAATACGAAAATCATGGAGTCGTGAAGCAATTGGGACGCCAATTATTCCCAACAAGTATTCAAAGCACTAATTTAATTTGGTCCGAGCGTAAAAAGGCCTCCGCATTTTCATGCCCCTTAGTTTTGTTCAGCAGTGGCTGTCCAAACTCTTCTGCCGTGTCACTCTCTACTTATTTTGTGTATGTTGAATCTCTTCCGCGCTGTACCAATCAGAGATGTGAGGGAGTGTATGGGTCTGTGTAATGAGCCTATGGGTCTGTGAGTCTATGGGTCTCTGTGTGAGCCTATGTGTCTCTGTTCTAGTCAATGGGTCTGTGCGAGTCTACAGGTCTCTTTGCGAGTCTATGGGCCTCTGTGTGAGTCTATGGGACTCTGTGTGAGTCTATGGGTCTCTGTGTGTGTCTATGGGTCTCTGTGTGAGTCTATGGGACTCTGTGTGAGTCTGTGTCTCTGTGTGAGTCTATGGGTCTCTGTGTGAGTCTATGGGTCTCTGTGTGTGTCTATGGGTCTCTGTGTGAGTCTATGGGTCTCTGTTCGAGTCTATGGGTCTCTCTGTGAGTCTATGGGTCTCTGTTCGAGTCTATGGGTCTCTCTGTGAGTCTATTGGTCTCTGTTCGAGTCTATGGGTCTCTGTGTGAGTCTATGGGTCTCTTTGTGAGTCTATGGGTCTCTGTTCGAGTCTATGGGTCTCTGTGCGAGTCTATGGGTCTCTGTGTGAGTCTATGGGTCTCTGTGTGAGTCTATGGGTCTCTTTGCGAGTCTATGGGTCTCTGTTCGAGTCTACGGGTTTCTGTGTGAGTCTATGGGTCTCTGTGTGAGTCTATGGGTCTCTTTGTGAGTCTATGGGTCTCTATGCGAGTCTATGGGTCTCTTTGCGAGTCTATGGGTCTCTGTTCGAGTCTACGGGTTTCTGTGTGAGTCTATGGGTCTCTGTGTGAGTCTATGGGTCTCTTTGTGAGTCTATGGGTCTCTATGCGAGTCTATGGGTCTCTGTGTGAGTCTATGGGTCTCTGTGTGTGTCTATGGGTCTCTGTGTGAGTCAATGTGTCTCTGCGTGAGTCTATGGGTCTCTGTGTGAGTCTATGGGTCTCTGTGTGAGTCTATGGGCCTGTGTGAGTCTATGGGTCTCTGTGTGAGTCTATTGGTCTCTGCGTGAGTCTATGGGTCTCTTTGCGTGAGTCTATGGGTCTTTGTGTGAGTCTATGGGTCTCTGTGTGAGTCTATGGGTCTCTGTGCGAGTCTATGGGTCTCTGTACAAGTCTATGTGTCTCTGTGTGAGTCTATGGGTCTCTTTGTGAGTCTATGGGTCTCTGTGTGAGTCTATGGGTCTCTTTGTGAGTCTATGGGTCTCTGTGCGAGTCTATGGGTCTCTGAGCGAGTCTATGGGTCTCTGTATGAGTCTATGGGTCTCTTTGCGTGAGTCTATGGGTCTCTGTGTGAGTCTATGGGTCTCTGTGTGAGTCTATGAGTCTCTGTGCTAGTCTATGGGTCTCTGTACAAGTCTATGTGTCTCTGTGTGAGTCTATGGGTCTCTTTGTGAGTCTATGGGTCTCTGTGTGAGTCTATGGGTCTCTTTGTGAGTCTATGGGTCTCTGTGCGAGTCTATGGGTCTCTGAGCGAGTCTATGGGTCTCTGTATGAGTCTATGGGTCTCTTTGCGTGAGTCTATGGGTCTCTGTGTGAGTCTATGGGTCTCTGTGTGAGTCTATGAGTCTCTGTGCTAGTCTATGGGTCTCTGTACAAGTCTATGTGTCTCTGTGTGAGTCTATGGGTCTCTTTGTGAGTCTATGGAGAGGATGACATGGAAATATCAGCGGCAGACAACGATGACGATCGCCAACAGTGAAGTGAACTGCTGCTGGAATGCCGTGGACCCATCGGCCTCCTTGAAAGTGGCCCATGGGTACGAGTTGGATCTCTCTCCACGTCCGTGCCAGGGAAGTCTCGCGTCTTTGGTTATAACGTGACGCGCCCCCTGACCCACGTTTGCCACGTCCCCTGACCCACGTTTGCCCCTCCCCCTTGATCCTCGTTTGCCACGACCCCTGACCCACGTTTGCCCCTCCCCTGACCCACGTTTGCCACGTTCCCTGACCCACGTTTGCCACGTCCCCTGATCCACGTTTGCCCCTCCCCCCTGACCCACGTTTGCCACGTCCCCATAATCCGAGGGTGCCACTACCCCCCAAACAACACGTGCCACTACCCCCCAAACAACACGTGCCACTACCCCCCCCAAACAACACGTTGCCACTACCGTGGCAGCGTGTGGCTGTAACCCGCGACCGGGAACGCAAACTCGCGCCCGTTGGCTCGTGGCCGACGTGCCAGCGTGTGCCACTGCTGCTGCTGCTGCTGCTGCGGTGCCAGCGTGTGCCACTGCTGGGCAGCTCCCCGTGCGCCAACTCTGCCGGGCTGCTGCCGCTCCAGGCTGTGCCACTGATGCCGATGGGAGCCGCTGACTCCGACTCCTCCGCCTCCTCCGCTGACTCCGACTCCGCTGACTCCGACTCCGCCGCCTCCTCCTCCGCCGCCTCCGACGCGCACGATGTCGTTGATGATGTTCTCCCTCTGCTCCACGCGCCGCGCCATCTCCGCCTCGTCGGGGTCCGAGAAGACGTCGCGAGGGCGGCGCCGCGAGCCGCCCCTCGTCGTCGTCGTCACCGCGTCGTCATCGTCGTCGTCGTCGCGAGAAGGCGACGCCGGTGACGACGGTGAGGGCGGTGAGGGCGGGGGGGAGGCGCGGAGGGGGGGGTGCGACGGAGGGGACGTGGCGGTGGGGGGCGAGGGGGGCGAGGGGGGGGGAGGGGGGGCGGGGGAGGCGGCGGGCAGACAGGGAGAGGACGGCCGAGACGAGGCCCAGGAAGACGCCGAGGACGAAGACGAGGGCCGCTCGCTCGGGAGCTCCTGGGGGGCACGCCGAGAGGGGGGGGGGCACGTGGGGGGGGGAGGGGGAGACGAGGGGGGAGGGGGGAGGGGAGGAGGAGGGAGTGGAGAAGGGGGGGGAGAGAGGAGGGGGTGGAGGAGGAGTAGGGGGGATGGAATTCCTTTCTAGCTAAGAACCCCTTTCTGCTTGCCCATCACCACGTATATAACCTCCTTTCGATTTAAAGCTTTCGTGACTGCAGGGATTCATCTTCTTGGTTCTTTCGGTAAAGTCACGTAGAAGGGAAGTAATAAAATAATAAAATAATTAAACGTGGTGTTGGACCAGATGACGCCTTTTGGCGTGAGACTAGGCTCTAAGGAAAGCTGTCTCGGGTGTGGACCAATCAACTTCAAGGACCATGTGAGACTAGGCTCTAAGGAAAGCTGTCTCGGGTGTGGACCAATCAATTTCAAGGACAGTGCATACATCATCAGAGTTGTACTTTTGTTTGCATTATGGCTGCAGGTATTGTGGTCTATGCAAACATGACTCCTTGTAAAAAAAGGTTTCAGTTTTGTTGCCAGATAGAAGGGTTAAAAAAACAATTATCATACCTCACCTAGTTTCGATTGAAAGCTTTCGTGACTGCAGCAGGGATTCATCTTCTTGGTTCTTTCGGTAAAGTCACGTAGAAGGGAAATGATAAAATAATAAAAATAAAACATAATAAAATAATTCTCACGACGTTTCGGCCACAACGCAAAAATGCTTAAAATCAAGAATGTGATATAAACTCTTAGAATTTTTTTTTTCTTCGGTAAAGTCCCGTCGGTAAAAACAATAATAATGATAAAATAATAATGAATGAAAATAACTCAATTAAATCACGACGTTTCGGAGGCACTTGGTACAGTAAATTCAGCTGTAACGGTCCCACCTGAAGACGGAGTCTTGTGTTGCCTCCGAAACGTCGTGATTTCATTGAGTTATTTTCATTTATTATTATTTTATTTATTATTTTTATTATTTTTACCTACGTGACTTTACCGAAAAAACATTCCAGTCACGAAAGCTTCAATTCTATAATGAATGTAATATTTGTTGATTTTACTCTGATCACATTTGCAATTTCCCCACACAGACCCAGCCCCCACCGAGGTTGCGTTGGGTCCTATGGACGGATGCCCCCTAACGGCTACAGTCCGTTGGGGAGCGCCATCGTAATACAAACACCGATTTGACGGCTACCCGTACCCGGCCGGGTACGGGTAGCCGTTTGCGACCCTGGTGCGGCCGGGTACGGGTACGGGTAGGGTAGGGTACGGGTAGGGTACGGGTTGGGTAGGGTACGGGTAGGGACGGGTAGGGTACGGGTAGGGTAGGGTACGGGTAGGGTACGGTAGGGTACGGGTAGGGTAGGGTGGGTACGGGTAGGGTACGGGTAGGGTACGGGTAGGGTAGGGTAGGGTACGGGTTAGGGTACGGGTAGGGTAGGGTCGGGTAGGGTACGGGTAGGGTACGGGTAGGGTAGGGTACGGGTAGGGTAGGGTACGGGTAGGGTACGGGTAGGGTAGGGTAGGGTACGGGTAGGGTACGGGTAGGGTACGGGTAGGGTAGGGTAGGGTACGGGTAGGGTACGGGTAGGGTACGGGTAGGGTACGGGTAGGGTACGGGTAGGGTACGGGTAGGGTAGGGGTACGGGTAGGGTAGGGTACGGGTAGGGTTACGGGTAGGGTAGGGTACGGGTAGGGTACGGGTAGGGTATGGGTAGGGTAGGGTACGGTACGGGTACGGGTACGGGTACGGGTAGGGTAGGGTAGGGTACGGGTACGGGTAGGGTACGGGTAGGGTACGGGTAGGGTACGGGTAGGGTAGGGGTACGGGTAGGGTACGGGTAGGGTATGGGTAGGGTACGGGTACGGGTAGGGTACGGGTAGGGTACGGGTAGGGGTAGGGTACGGGTAGGGTACGGGTAGGGGTAGGGTACGGGTAGGGTACGGGTACGGGTAGGGTACGGGTACGGGTAGGGTACGGGTAGGGTACGGGTAGGGTAGGGTACGGGTAGGGTACGGGTAGGGTACGGGTAGGGTAGGGTAGGGTACGGGTAGTGTAGGGTACGGGTAGGGTACGGGTAGGGTACGGGTAGGGTACGGGTAGGGTAGGGTACGGGTAGGGTAGGGTACGGGTAGGGTACGGGTAGGGTACGGGTAGGGTACGGGTACCCGTTTGCGACCCTGGTGTGGCCGAGTACGGGTAAGGAATCAAAACCCGTTTGCGACCTCTGACACAAATGCACAGGCTGGAGACATTATAACCGGTCTAGGGTGTTCTCTCAAGCAGGCTGAACGAACACGGCAGCAATTAAAACTTTCGTGCGGGGAATTCAAATTCTTTGGTGCTTTCGGTAAAGTCCACGTAGATAGGATTTTTTTTTTTAATGAAGTGAAAATAAATAAAAATAAAACAAACACCGTCGCGGTTTTTGTTAGATTTGCATTTGTATTACTATTTTGTTATTGAATACTATTTTTATTATTTTATTATTTCCCTTCTACGTGAATTTACCGAAAGAACCGAGAATACGCAGCAGCAATTGTCAATACAATAGGAGACGAAAATATTAAGATCGAATATTTTTTGGTAACTGTAATCAGGATCAGAATATTGCATTTATACTGCAGGAGGAATCCGATGAGCTATGAAGCTCTGGACCAGTAAGTGGTAGGGGTAGAGGCGGGGTGAGTGGTAGGGGTAGAGGCGGGGTGAGTGGTAGGGGTAGAGGCGGGGTGAGTGGTAGGGGTAGAGGCGGGGTGAGTGGTAGGGGTAGAGGCGGGGTGAGTGGTAGGGGTAGAGGCAGGGTGAGTGGTAGGGGTAGAGGCGGGGTGAGTGGTAGGGGTAGAGGCGGGGTGAGTGGTAGGGGTAGAGGCAGGGTGAGTGGTAGGGGTAGAGGCGGGGTGAGTGGTAGGGGTAGAGGCGGGGTGAGTGGTAGGGGTAGAGGCAGGGTGAGTGGTAGGGGTAGAGGCGGGGTGAGTGGTAGGGGTAGAGGCGGGGTGAGTGGTAGGGGTAGAGGCGGGGGTGAGTGGTAGGGGTAGAGGCAGGGTGAGTGGTAGGGGTAGAGGCGGGGTGAGTGGTAGGGGTAGAGGCGGGGTGAGTGGTAGGGGTAGAGGCAGGGTGAGTGGTAGGGGTAGAGGCGGGGTGAGTGGTAGGGTAGAGGTGGGGTGAGTGGTAGGGGTAGAGGCAGGGTGAGTGGTCGGGGTAGAGGCAGGGTGAGTGGTAGGGGTAGAGGCAGGGTGAGTGGTCGGGGTAGAGGCAGGGTGAGTGGTAGGGGTAGAGGCAGGGTGAGTGGTAGAGGTAGAGGCGGGGTGAGTGGTAGAGGTAGAGGCGGGGTGAGTGGTAGGGGTAGAGGCGGGGTGAGTGGTAGGGGTAGAGGCGGGGTGAGTGGTAGAGGTAGAGGCGGGGTGAGTGGTAGAGGTAGAGGCGGGGTGAGTGGTAGAGGTAGAGGCGGGGTGAGTGGTAGGGGTAGAGGCGGGGTGAGTGGTAGGGGTAGAGGCGGGGTGAGTGGTAGGGGTAGAGGCAGGGTGAGTGGTAGGGGTAGAGGCGGGGTGAGTGGTAGGGGTAGAGGCGGGGTGAGTGGTAGGGGTAGAGGCGGGGTGAGTGGTAGGAGTAGTGACAGGGTGAGTGGTAGGGGTAGAGGCGGGGTGAGTGGTAGGGGTAGTGACAGGGTGAGTGGTAGGGGTAGAGGCGGGGTGAGTGGTAGGGGTAGAGGCAGGGTGAGTGGTAGGGGTAGAGGCAGGGTGAGTGGTAGGGGTAGAGGCGGGGTGAGTGGTAGGGGTAGAGGCGGGGTGAGTGGTAGGGGTAGAGGCGGGGTGAGTGGTAGGGGTAGAGGCGGGGTGAGTGGTAGGGGTAGAGGCAGGGTGAGTGGTAGGGGTAGAGGCAGGGTGAGTGGTAGGGGTAGAGGCAGGGTGAGTGGTAGGGGTAGAGGCGGGGTGAGTGGTAGGGGTAGAGGCAGGGTGAGTGGTAGGGGTAGAGGCGGGGTGAGTGGTAGGGGTAGAGGCGGGGTGAGTGAGTGGTAGGGGTAGAGGCGGGGTGAGTGGTAGGGTAGAGGCAGGGTGAGTGGTAGGGGTAGAGCGGGTGAGTGTAGGGTAGGGGTGAGTGGTAGGGTAGAGGCGGGGTGAGTGGTAGGGGTAGAGGCAGGGTGAGTGGTAGGGGTAGAGGCGGGGTGAGTGGTAGGGGTAGAGGCGGGTGAGTGGTAGGGGTAGAGGCAGGGTGAGTGGTAGGGGTAGAGGCAGGGTGAGTGGTAGGGGTAGAGGCAGGGTGAGTGGTAGGGGTAGAGGCAGGGTGAGTGGAAGGGGTAGAGGCGGGGTGAGTGGTAGGGGTAGAGGCGGGGTGAGTGGTAGTGACAGGGTGAGTGGTAGGGGTAGAGGCAGGGTGAGTGGTAGGGGTAGAGGCGGGGTGAGTGGTAGGGGTAGAGGCGGGGTGAGTGGTAGGGGTAGAGGCGGGGTGAGTGGTAGGGTGAGTGGTAGGGGTGGAGGCAGTGTGAGTGGTAGGGGTGGAGGCAGGGTGAGTGGTAGGGGTCAAGGCGGTGTGAGTGGTAGGCGTAGAGGCAGTTGCATCTCAAATCGGCGGTGTAAACCTTACCTCGTATGTATCCATATACGGCCAAGGTACTGGTAAACGTTACCAAAGCAACCATGTCTCCTGGTCACGTGAGTCCTAGACACAAAAGAAACATCATCGTCATCATGATCAGAGCGGTAGGCAGCGTACGGCACGAAAGAAGCTCAACACGAGGTGTAACATCTGTAAACATGACTAGTTCATTGTACAATAACACAGGTCAACAAAAAAAACATGTTTTTCTGGCCTAGACTAGATTCAGGGTGCTGATTCCAAATCTGATCTCAGATTTGCTCCATCACATCTCATTTTAAATCCTTTATATTAAGTTCGCTTGCTTGCTTACGTGCTTGCTTGCTTACGACCGTGCAAATCTTTCGGTCGTTTTTTAACCCACTTCCCGTGATCCAATCGAGCTGACATTTTGCACACAGACTCGTTGTGTGACAATTAAGTTTCGTGAAAAAAATCAAAATTTTACACTGTTTAGGGAAAACAAATTAAATATTTAATTACCAATTGCTTAATGGTGGCAGACAATCATCTGACCCATAGGTGGCAGCCATCTCAAGCCAGAGGACGAGAGGACTCTAGCCGCCACGCATATAAAGGATTTATAGTGAAAAACTTTGTTTTTACGGGTTTACTTATTATGCTATCGGCATACCCCATTTGCATTGATTTTACCCGAAATTAACTCTGTCACTTATGATTGCAAGTTGTTGCGAGTCAGTTGACTGCTTTAGTGTTACAATATGGTGCTGTATTGTTAGGATAGTGTGTTTCTAATATCATTTTATGTAGATATCCACATTCATTTCATATTTTTCTTCTGCAGTTTTTATTGAAAATGCAATATTTGATATCTCAAAAACCTGATGTGCTAGACAAAAACTGATGCCACATTTGGAATCAGCACCCATAAAATTACCTTGCAACCGTTGGAATTACCTCATGCCAGAAAAAGTGTGTTGACCAGTGATAATCAGAAGTGTTGTACCCTTTATGGGAATAAAGGATGTCTAAACACCAAGGCCGTAGCCCCCCAGAAAAAAAAATCTAAATTTCAAAACGAATTTCCTGCCATTTTCTGCCTAAAATATTAAAAAAATCGCCAACACATGGGATAGACTTCTTACTTATTTTGTACAACAATGTCTAACGGTGTATTGTATAACATTGCTCTGGTTTGTTTTGCATTTTTAACCTTTTCTTGTTTCATTGTCTATGTAATGGCAGAGATCAGGGATTAATAAAGTACAACCATAACCACAATCATATACACAGAAATCTATTTTATAGCAATATATTAGCGGGGGGGGGGGACATTTTGAGCTTATTTGAATATTGGGGGGATGTGCATATTCTTGGTTCTTTCGGTAAAGTCACGTAGAAGGGAAAAGCTTTAAATCAAAAGATGATGCATTGTGTAGGGCACCCAGTACTGCATTAAGCACACACACACACAGCACATTGCAAACACACATTGACAGAATCCATGGCGTTTGTCATTGCAACCCACTGAACTCCAAGCGTCAAGACTTCTTATCTCTGGTTTCACCAGCAGTGTCAGACCAGAGAAGAACGTCAAAAGTTGACCAGTACCAGCACAATGCCACTCGAATCAGTGCGTCTCTAACTCGGGGTGAGCAGCAGCAGCAATGGGAACCTATTCACCACCCACCCACCCATTCACCCACCCACCCACCCACTCACTCACCCACCCACCCATCCATTCACCCACCCACCATTCACCCTCCCACCCACCCATTCACCCACCCACCCACTCACCCACCCACCCACCCACCCATTCACCCACCCACCCACCAACCCACCCATTCACCCACCCACCCATTCAACCACCCACCCACCCATTCACCCACCCACCCATTCACCCACCCACCCACCCATTCACCCACCCACCCATTCAACCACCCACCCATTCACCCACCCACCCATTCACCCACCCATTCACCCACCCACCCATTCACCCACCCACCCATTCACCCACCCACCCATTCACCCACCCACTCACCCACCCATTCACCCACCCACCCACTCAACAGTTTTTTGGCAGTGTCAAAGTATGAAAAATAATCAACGTTGTTTTTATCCTTTATGATAATACAATAGGGCTTGTGTTAAGACGTTCACACAGATGATACATTATCAAGATGATGGCTTGTGTTGCAAGTCGAAACGTCGTGAGAATTTAATTGTTTTATATTTTTTATAATTGTATTATTTCCCTTCTACGTGACTTTACCGAAAGAACCAAGACTATGAATCCATGCAGTCACGAAAGCTTCAAATCAAAAGATGATACATTGTGTAGGGCACCCAGTACTGCATTAACCACACATACACACACAGCACATTGCAAACACACATTGACAGAATCCATGGAATTTGTCTTTGCAACCCACTGAACTCCAAGCGTCAAGACTTCTTGTCTCTGGTTTCACCAGCAGTGTCAGATCAGAGAAGAACGTCAAAAGTTGACCAGTACCAGCACAATGCACTCGTATCAGAGCGTCTCTAACTCGGGGTGAGCAGCAGCAATTCAATGGGAACCCATTCACCCACCCACCCACCCATTCACCCACCCACCCACCCATTAAATCACCCACCCACCCATTCACCCACCCACCCATTCACTCACCCACCCACCCATTCAACCACGCACCCACCCATTCACTCACCCACCCACCCATTCAACCACCCACCCACCCATTCACCCACCCACCCACCAACCCACCCACCCACCAACCCACCCACCAACCCACCCACCCACCCATTCACTCACCCACCCCCACCCACCCCCACCCATTCAACCACCCACCCACCCATTCACCCACCCATTCACCCACCCACCAACCCACCCACCAACCCACCCATTCACCCACCCACCCATTCACCCACCCATTCAACCACCCACCCACTCATTCACCCACCCACCCACTCATTCAACCACCCACCCACCCACCCATTCACCCACCCAACCATTCACACACCCACCCATTCACCCACCCACCCACTCACCCACCCACCCATTTACCCACCCACCCATTCAACCACCCACTCACCCACCCACCCACCCACTCACCCACCCACCATTCACCCACCCACCCACCCATTCACCCACCCACCCACCAACCCACCCACCCACCAACCCACCCACCAACCCACCCATTCACCCATTCACCCACTCACCCACCCATTCACCCACCCACCCATTCACCCACCCACCAACCCACCCACCCACCCATTCACCCACCCACCCACCCATTCACCCACCCACCCACCCATTCACCCACCCACCAACCTACCCACCCACCCACTCATTGACCCACCCACCAACCCACCCACCCACTCACCCACCCACCCATTCACCCACCAACCCATCCACTCAACAATTTTGTGTCAGTGTCAGAATATGAAAAATAATCAACTTAGTTGTTTTATTATCCTTCATGATGATACAATAGGGCTTGTGTTAAGACGTCCACACAGATGATACATTATCATGATGATTGCTTGTGTTGCAAGTCGAAACGTCGTGAGAATTTAATTGTTTCATATTTTTAATAATTGTATTATTTCCCTTCTACGTGACTTTACCGAAAGAACCAAGAATATGAATCCATGCAGTCACGAAAGGTTTATGATAGATTGTGCAAGGCACCCAGTACTGCATTAACCACACACACACAGCACATTGCAAACACACATTGACAGAATCCATGGCATGTGTCATTGCAACCCACTGAACTCCAAGCAGAAAGCTTCGTTAGGGTCGAGAGAACGACCTTAAACGTCGGACATCCTCCTCCTTCCTCACCTCGATCAGAGCGAGGCGAGAGAAGCGTTCCAGATGTTGGTCTCCCCCATTCCTTTGAGTTTGGTGGTTGGTGGTGGTGGTGACACGAATTTTTTGCGTTATATTTGTGTGTGTGCGCGTATGTCACAACAGTTATTATTAGTTGTTTTAAAACAAAGTTAGCGAAGAAACGCTTCGGTCGAGGGGTAAGTTTTATTTTCTTACAAATGTGTGTGCAACTTTGTGCGCGCGTTGAGGTCTTTGTGCGAACTTTTAAATCGTAGTAATAATTAGATAAATAAATGCGCCCTGACATTCCTTACCCCTTCGATTCGACGATTCTCTTAACTTTGTACTCTGAAGCAGGAATCGATTATTTGGACATGCGAAACCGGGAATGTCTGCCGGCGAGTTGTTTAAATAAATAAAAACAACCTCCAACAAAATATTGCTTTGCCCCTACAAGTTAAACGTGGCGATGTGGAAGAATAGTTTAAAAAAAAAATTAAAAAAATACTTTCTTAATAATGTTTATTTCCCGGATCGAATCGATCGATTCTGGAGGCGTCGTCTTGTTTTACGAATCTTGAATCGATTCCGGGCGAGCGCCGTACGTGGTGACGTCATGACGCAGAGTCGAACACCGGTCGTTACGTCGCCACGCACGCAAGCGCGCGCATGACGTAATGACGTACGTGACGTAATGACGTACGCATTTGCGCGTGACGTCATCGCGTATTCTGGGGGAGGGGGGGTGTGAATGCGGCATTTGCGGACGTTGCCCGATGCGCGATGACGTCACGACGCACGGATTACCGCGTGACGTCAGCGCGTAGCCGTGCGTCATGCGTCACTGGCCTTTTCAATGATAACACAGGTCAACACACTTTATCTGGCATAAGGTAATTACAACTGTTTTAAGGTAATTTTGGGGTGCTGATTCCAAATCTGGCATCAGTTTTTGTCTATCGCATCAGGTTTTTGAGATATCAAATATTCAATTTTCAATAACTGCGGAAGAAAAATATGAAATAAATGTGGATATCTACATAAAATTATATTATAAACACACTGTCCTAACAATACAGCAACGTATTTTAACACTAAAGCAGTCACTGACTCGCAACAACTTGCAATCATAAGTGACGGAGTTAATTTCGGGTAAAATCAATGAAAATGGGGTATGCCGATAGCATAAGTATAACCCGTAAAAACAAAGTTTTTCACTATAAATCCTTTTATGCGTGGCGGCTAGAGTCCTCTCGTCCTCTGGCTTGAGATGGCTGCCACCTATGGGTCAGATGATTGTCTGCCACCATTAAGCAATTGGTAATTAAATATTTAATTTGTTTTCCCTAAACAGTGTCAAATTTTGGATTTTTTTCACGAAAATTAATTGTCTCGCACAACGAGTCTGTGTGCAAAACGTCAGCTCGATTGGATCACGGGAAGTGGGTTAAAAAACGACCGAAAGATTTGCATGGTCGTAAGCAAGCAAGCACGCAAGCAAGCAAGCGAACTTAATATAAAGGATTTAAAAATGAGATGTGATGGAGCAAATCTGAGATCAGATTTGGAATCTGCACCCTGAAATTTAGTCTAAAACAGCTGCAAAAAAAGTCCAGGCCAGAAAAAAACATGTTTGTGTTGTTGTTGAGCAGTGTTACGTTAATTTTGGAGCTTTCGTAACTGCGGGAATTATTCTTTGGTTCTTTCGGTAAAGTCACGTATCATTTATTATTTTTTTATCTTTATACGTGACTTTACCGAAAGAACCAAAGAACATTTTTTTAACAGAGAAGATGGATTCTGGCTTAGCAATCATTGGAAGGGACGTAATAAACCATTTCGGATCTTAACTGATTGTGTTCACGTTTACGGTGACTTTCAGACCGCAGTCCACTCACTGGCATTGACTATAGATTTTGTATTCTCCGCAGGGAATGGATAATAACAAATAGTATAACATTTATATGCTTAATACAATGTACAAAGTAATATATAGTATCGTAATTGTATAGTAAACATATAGCAGTGTGATACACATTAAGGTGAGTAGAATAATACATAGTGTTATATTAAAATGTATAAGGTGGTTTATAGCAATACAGTATATAATTTAATGTTGGGTTTATCTATGGCAGTATATAGTACAGTGTATGCTCGTGTGATGTAAAAGAATAAAGTTTAGATGGAAGCATATTATATAATTTTTACGACGTAGAATTGTAATGTATTACTTGCTGTGAGTAACTCAGCTTATTGTAGAGTATAGTAAGTACACTGGTGGTGCTATGCAGTTTATACTTTAGTTTTTTATGCAGTTTATACTTTAGTTTTTTACGTGGTTGTTTAGTAACTGCAGCTACATATCATTAACATTCCTTTCCTGTGTTAATGCTACGCCCTGCACCCCCCCTTGGTGCTGCTGATCCTGCATAATGCATGGGCATACTATGACTATGAAACCCCCCCCCACCCACCTCCTACGCATTTTCCCATGAATATGCTAAATTCCTCTTCATATGCACATTCTTTTTGTTAAGGCGCTCTTTCTTCCACCTCCAACGCAGCGTATATATAAGCTCCTAGCTTGGCAGTGTCTCATTCTTCACCTGAAGACGGCTGCTTGCGTTGTGGCCGAAACGTCGTGAGAATTATTTTATTATGTTTTATTTTTATTATTTTATTACTTCCCTTCTACGTGATGACTTTACCGAAAGAACCAAGAAGATGAACCAAAGAACAGTGTAATGTTGTTACTTATGATGCGTGGCGCATGCTGCCTCCTTCCCCACCATACGGTGGCGCTGGAAGCAAGTTTTTTGTGCCCCTCTCCAGGAGGGCTGGACGATTAATCGATTTCAAATCGAATTTTCAATTTGTAACAATGCGACTCGCTCATCGCAAAGGCTGCGATTTTTTGCGATTTTAAAAATCCTATTACTTTTTTATTGAAAATGTAATTTTTTTTATTATAATACCTTTTTTTATTTACCTTAACAATTGTTCTATGTTTGATTGTTCTATTCCAATTAAATTTTTTTAAAAATAAATACACTTTACAAGCAATTAATATATTTTAAGTTCTCATCCTTGCATTATAATATGTAGAGCATTTCATATATTTTGATGGTATCATGTGGTGATGCTCCATCACACGTTTTAAATCTATTACACAGCGAATATTGAACTGCAGCTTGACGTCAAAACTTTTTATCGCAAATCAAATCACAACATCCGTTATTCTTTGGTTCTTTCGGTAAAGTCACGTATAAAGAAAAAACAATAAATGAAATAATAGCATACGACGTTTCGATTGCAACACAAAGAACCAAAGAATAATTCTTGCAGTCACGAAAGTTCCAAAGTTAAGATTGAATCACAATATCTGTCCGAAAAATCGCTAATTAGATATTTTCACCAAATCGCTCAGCCCGAACCTCCACTCCCTATCTGCTGAATGTCCTTTGACCCCGTGCGGTGGTGAGCCGGGGGGGGGGGGGCGATCACCCGGTCGGTGGGGGGCCCGGCGGGGGGGGAGGGCCGATCGACGCGGTGGTGGAGGGGGTGGACGTCGCGCCCCATCTGCCCGGCGAGGGCGGTGGGGTGGACAACGGCCCCCACAAGTGGAGCAGTGCGTGCCCTGAAGTGCACGGGGAAGTGCACGGTGAAGAAGCAGAATGAGAAGTGAATTGTCCCGCGGTGTGGAGAGTGGGGGGGAGGGGTGAATGGGTGAGTGAGTGAGTGGGAGGGTGAGTGAGTCAGTGAGTGGGTGGGTGAGTGAGTGAGTGGGTGAGGGAGTGAGTGAGTGAGTGAGTCAAGTGAGTGGGTGAGTGGGTGAGTGAGTGGGTGAGTGAGTGAGTGAATGGGTGAGTGAGTGAGTGGGTCAGTGGGTGCGTGGGTGAGTGAGTCAGTGGGTGGTTGAGTGAGTGCGTGAGTGAGGGGGTGGGTGAGTCAGTGGGTGAGTGGGTGGGTGAGTGGTTGAGTGAGAGGCTGAGTGAGTGGGTGAGTGAGTGAGTGAGTGGGTGAGTGAGTGGGTGGGTGAGTGAGAGAGTGGATGAGAGAGTGGATGAGTGTGTGAGTGGGTAGGTAAGTGAATGAGTGAGGGAGTAGGTGAGGGAGTCGGTGAGGAAGTTCGGTGAGTGGGTGAGCGAGTGGGTGGATGAGAGAGTGGATGAGTGGGTGGGTGAGTGGGTGGTTGAATGGGTGAGTGGGTGGGTGGGTGAGTAGATGGGTCAGTGAGTGAGTTGCTGGGTGAGGGAGTGGGTAAGTGAGTGTGTGGGTGAGTGAGTGGGTGAAGGAGTGGGTGAGTAAGTGGGTGATTGGTTTAATGAGTGGGTGAGTGAGTGGGGGAGTGAGTGGGTGTGTGTGTGAGGGAGTAGGTGAAAGAGTCAGTGGCTGAGTGGGTGGTTGAATGAGTGGGTGGGTGGGTGACTGGGTGAGAGCGTGGGTGAGAGAGTGGGTGAGTGAGTGGGTGGGTGAGGGGGTTGGTGAGTTGATGAGTGAGTAGGTGAGTGAGTAGGTGAGTGGTTTTTTGAGTAAGTGAGTGTGTGGGTGAATGGGTAGGGGAGTGGATGGGTCAGTGAGTGAGTTGGTGGGTGAGGGAGGGAGTGGTAAAGTGAGTGTTTGGATGGGTATGTCAGTGGGTGAGTAAACCTGTCTACACCTAATCAGTGCCTACCTTATTACAGAGAAATGCAGACTTCATTAGTCCCATCACAAGGGAGAAACACAAACGAATTGACCAATTTTGTGTCCGTATTGAAACGGTTGTACGCCGTATGGACCTGAAATCTCGATTTTCCCTGGACAAGAATCCGGGGTAAGCCGTATGGGTTGACAGCTGTGGGTGATTTTCTTTGGTCTTTCGGTAAAGTCACGTAGATAGGTTCTATCTGGATTTGAAGCTTTCGTGACTGCATGAATCCATAGGTATATACCTACGTGACTTTACCGAAAGAACCAAAGAGTCTAGGTAGGTTCTGTTTACGTGACAACCCTTGCCCAGTTGGCTGTTTTAACGACACATTTATATATTTACGCGATCTAACCCCAAAACAAAAAACAACTCTATTATGGATGATATTGGTAGCGAAAGGCTCTTACGCGTTAAACTGATTGGTTAACGCTGTTAATACTATTGCTGCATCCTCACAGTACATAGTGGGTGTATGTAGGATGGGGAACTGGGGCTTCCAAATGGACAATGATGTCGTAAAGAGCCATGAACCACCCACCTGGAAGCAATGACCCACAGTGACGCTTAGGGGCCGTCCATAAATGACGTCACGTGATTTTGGACGATTTTTGACCCACCCCCCCCCCCCCCCATTCGTCACACGGCGTCACAAGAAGTTGTTTGAGTTGCAGTTGGCGGTGGTAGTTGCATAAGTTGTGAGATGTAGATGGTTTGCTGGTGGTTGGGTGAGTTGTGGCGGATGGTGGTGATTGTTTCGTGAGTGGTGGTGGCTTGTGGGAAGCAGTAGTGTAGCGGTTAGCGCTACGCTGCACTACGAACACGGTGATCCGAGTTCATTCCCCGCTCAAGGCCAACATCAGTGACGATTATCTTAACCGGTCCTGGGCCTCCCTTGTGTTGAATCAGCCTCAAATGAGTACCTGGTGTAGCGGCGTGGTGTAGTAAACATCGCCACTGGGGAGACAAAGGCGGCCGGGGTGGTGCTGGCCACCCACCCCCTCGTGTGCCGTGTCGGTTTTCATAGGTGCTCGCTAACAGCACTTGCCCCTGCAGTCTGTTCAGGCTATTCGGGGGATTATTGTATTTTGGTGGGTTGTGGATGGGTACACGATGTGTAGCAGAGGCCGCAACCGGGTACCCGATACCCGTACCCTACCCGTACCCGGCCGGGTACGGGTAGGGTACGGGTATCCCAGAGGTCACAATCAGGCTGATTGTGACCTCTGGGATGAAGCCATGTTGCAGGCGCGGGTGGGTTGATTCTAGGAACTTGAATTGTGAGAAGAGACAAGACGTTGGGAAATGAGTGACAAACGGTGACTCACCAGTGACTCAAGGCCTACCCGTACCCGTACCCGGCTGCACCAGGGTCGCAAACGGGTACCCGTACTCTACCCGTACGGGTAGCCGTTTGCGACCCTGGTGCGGCCGGGTACGGGTACGGGTAAGGAATCAAAACCCGTTTGCGACCTCTGGTGTGTAGGCTGGTTGGGCAGGGTGAGCTGTGTATTTATTTACTGTCATGTCGAATTGTTTCCAGACTTCTCTGGGAATATGCTGGTTATTGATTCCAATGCCCCACATAGCAAATTCAACAATGGAGCAAGTTTCGAAAATGTATTTATTGCGATTATTATGTTACCAGGTAAGGCTCTTTTTAAATCCGTTATATTAAGTTCGCTTGCTTGCTTGCGTGCTTGCGTGCTTGCTTGCTTGCTTACGACGATGCAAATCTTGCGGTCGTTTTTTAACCCACTTCCCGTGATCCTATCGAGCTGACATTTTGCACACAGACTCGTTGTGCGTGACAATTAATTTTCGTGAAAAAAAATTTCCAAAATGTTACACTGTTTAGGGATTTTTTTTTAAATATTTAATTACCAATTGCTTAATGCTGGCAGACAATCATCTGACCCATAGGTGGCAGCCATCTCAAGCCAGAGGACGAGAGGACTCTAGCCGCCACGCATATAAAGGATTTAGAGTGAAAAACTTTGTTTTTACGGGTTAAATTTTTCAGAAGTGACCTGGCAATCACAAATGATAACCCAACGAAGTGGCTCATCATGTGGAAATGTATATCATCCAAATAACTCTAAAACACACTTTTCAAAATTTGGAGGGTAAACCGGAGGCCCGGAGAAAAATCCCCGCGGCCACGAAGAGAGAGAACACGCAAACTACAAATATAGAGCAGTCATCAGGGTCTGCGTCGAACGCCGCGACCTCCTGTATACCATCTTCTTGGTTCTTTCGGTAAAGTCACGTAGAAGGGAAATAATAAAATAATAAAAATAAAACATCATAAGATACAATTCTCACGACGTTTCGGCCACAACGCAAGCAGCCGTCCTCAGGTGAAGAACAGGTCTGTCGGAAAGACAGCGTCTGAATGAACACCACCAAGCTTGGCAGCGTATATTTAAGCTGCTGGGTTAAGCTATACCAGGCGATGTAATTGACAATATTAGCCACCGTGACGCCCTGGATCGTTCAGGATCCCCTCCCGCTCCACGCACAAACAAGGGAACAAGTAGGGCTCATGTTTATTGATGAAACAGCGCCTCGGTGGACTTTTCAGCAGACACAAGCATCTTGGTGTCAGGATCAGATGCAAGGACACCACCACATGACATTTTCGACATCAGTTTGCGACCACAGCGACAGGGTTTCTCGAATGCTTGCGAACTACCACAGTCTCATCTTTCTACCTTGACCAGTCCTCCCGCACTCGAATACAAATGAGGATGCATGCACGCACGAGTTCGATGGTCGGTAAAACATTCCCCGCGTGATGTAGATAGCGCGAACCGTCACTCCGTTCATCAGGAGAGTGCAGTTTGTTCACCGTCTGATTTGCGTTTGAGGTGCGGAGGCGACTGATAAATCCGGCGAGAACGAGGCAAATCCAAAACAGACTCAATTACGAACCGGACGTAGTGACTCGGCAGTGAGCGGAAACCGTGTAGACCAAAACACGCGAAAAATGATATTCTTAGGTTTTTTTCGGTAAAGTCACGTAGGTAAAAAAATCACTTGATACAGATATCGTTGCTGTGACGGTTCCACCTGAAGACGGAAGCTTGTGTTGCCTCCGAAACGTCGTGATTTTTATTTTATTTTTATTTTACTTTTATTTATTTAAACTTTTTACCTACCTGACTTTACCAAAAAACCCAAGAATATGAATCCTTGCAGTCACGAAAGCTTCAAATCTAGAAAAAAAATCATCCCGTCTGACCCCAATTATTTCTCACTCTCTAATGATGATGCTTCTTTCCATCCTTCTTCCCGTGCTTTCCCTCCTTGCCATGCTCCTCGGATGAGGAGGTATCCCCGTGTTTCTTCTTCTTCTCGGGCACGGGAGGGGGGGTCATGACCCTTCCTGCGAAGAGCAGAGCGCCCGTCTCGTCGTCTCTGATGAGGAAGACGAACGGTCTGTCCACCTTCAGTTCCTCGGGAAACTGGATGGATGTGAGACTGATCATTACGCCCGTGGCGGCCGCGGCCTTGACTCCCTCCTCGTTGAGGGTCATGGTGGCACGGTGGATGACCTTGGAGACACGGAGAGGAGTGTCCGAGATCTTGCTGAGGTCCGGAGAATTGAAGAGATCTCCAAGACCTGGGTCATGGGTGGGAGGTAGGAGGAGGAGGAGGAGGCACACAGAGAGGGGTCAGAAGCTTTCAGGGAAGAAATTGAGGATCCATTTCCATCATCATCATCATCATCATCCTCTACACCTCCAGTCTTTGTCTAAGGTTTTCCCCTCACCTACTTATTCCATATCTTCCCCCCTTTAATCAGTTCGTTACGGGCGTGTCTTCGCTCAAACAGCGTCCTTTGCAAGAGCATTTGAGTGAAGACAGATTCGTAAAGACGGGAAAAGGGGACATAAGTTTTAAGAAAACAATTGAGGGTCCATCATGAAACCTCCTTTGCCAGTACCTCAATTGATAATAGGTTTTTTCCCTTTTTTTGGCAACAAAATCCTGTTGAGGAGCCTTTCAAAACCATCAACTTACCCTACATTGCTGGGGTCACAAAAAAGATCTCCAAAATCCTGATTAAACACAAGATCCAGGTCCGATTCAACACAGTACATAAAATCCGTGATCTGGTCCCGTCTGTAAAAGATGTGGTTCCAGACATACAGTACCCTGGCGTCTACAAACTAAGTTGCCTCTGTGGTAGCAGTTACATTGGAGAAACCAAACGACATGTCTCGGACCGCATCCGTGAACATAAAGCAGACCTAAAACACGGTAGGACAAACACCTCAGAAGTGGCAGATCACTGTTACAATTCAGTGGGCTCACATAACATTGACTTCTCCAAGACAGAGGTTCTCTGCAAGCCATCTGGCTACCATGAGAGATTCGTTCATGAGGCGATCCACATATACAAACACAGAGACAATTTCAACCGAGAAGATGGATTCTGGCTCAGCAATCATTGGAAGGACGTAATAAACCATTTCGGATCTTAACTGATTGTGTTCACATTTACGGTGACTTTCAGACCGCAGTCCACTCACTGGCATTGACTATAGATCTTGTATTCTCCGCAGGGAATGGATTCTTTGCTCCGCTGCAAGTCTCCTACTACCACTCTCCCATTGACATATTTCGTTGCTTCCTCTTAGTATCTTTCACTCGACGGTCAATGGTATAGTGTATAGCAGATTGTATAATAATAAATAGTATAAAATTGTAATGTTTAATACAATGTATAAGGTTATATATAGTATCGTAATTGTATAGTGAATATACAGCAGTGTGGTATACAATAGGGTGGGTAGAATAATACATAGTGTAATATTACACATAGTGTAATATTACACTATGTATTATTCTAAGGTATAGGGTGGTGTATAGTAATACAGTATATAATTTAATATTGGGTTTGTCTGTGGCAGCATATAGTACGGGGTAGACCCGTGTGATGTAAGAGAATAAGGTTTAGCTGGAAGCATATTATATTTTTTGCGACATAGAATTGTAATGTATTACTTACTGTTAGTAGCTCAGCTTATTGTAGAGTATATTTAGTATACTGATGATACTATGTAGTTTATACTTTAGTTGTCTACGTGGTGGTTTTAGTTACTGCAGCTACATACTATTAACATTCCTTCCCTTTATTAATACTACCCATATCCCCTCCCTTTGATGCTGCTAATCCTACATAATGCACGGGCATATTATAACTTTGAAACCCCCCCGCCCACCTCCTACGCATTCCACAAGTAGTACTAATCACATACCTGCATTTCCCATAAATATGCTAAATTCCTCTTGATATGCAAATTATTTTGTCAAGGCGCCCTTCCCTCCTTCCAACCCAGCAGCTTAAATAGACGCTACAAGCGTGGTGGTGTTTCATTCAGACGCTGTCTCCCCGACAGACCTGGTCTTCACCTGAGGACGGCTGCTTGCATTGTGGCCGAAACGTCGTGAGAATTATTTTTATTATGTTTTATTTGTATTATTTTATTGTTTCCATTCTACGTGACTTTACCGAAATAACCAAGAAGATGAATCCCTGCAGTCACGAAAGCTTTACATCGAAATATAAAAGGTGTTAAGATGTTAAATCAACAAACTGAAACTTTTTACAATGAATCATGTCTGCATTAACCCCAATACTTGTGGTCAGAATGCAAACAAAAAACATACTCTGATAATATATGCATTGTCCTTGAAACTAATTGGTCCACACCAGAGACGGTGTTAGACAAGAGGCTCAAAAGAAAGCTCTCTCAAACACGAAAAGCGGTTCTAAAGAAATTAGATTTAAATGTAGATTAAATCTAATTTCTTAGAGTAGCTTCCTAGTGTCATAAGGAAGAGCGTTCCAGACGGCGGCAGAAGCAGCGCATCTGAAAACGCCAGATGCAGTGACCGGTCTTTGTTCAATGATTCGCCAAAAGATGCTGCTACTGCTGCTGCTGCTGAGAGGATGGATCGTAGTTTTGCGTGACGGTTTGAGATCTGGCAGAGGCTGCAACAACAACAAAAAACCACCCAGATTCAGGTTTGAAAAATCTCAATCCCAGAACCTCACCGATGTCCGTCAGCGTCTGCTTGAGGTTGCTCTCGACGTCCAAGGAGATGAGCGGCAGCTGCAGGTTGATCTTCTTCTGCACCAACGTCTCCTCCACCAGCGTGGTCACGACCTGGGAGGAGAGCGACGACTCCAGCGCGGACAGGTTGGTGCTCACCGCGTCAGGGACGAACAGCAGCAGACTCGTGTTGCCCTGGAACTGGATTTGGGCGACCTGGGGTTTGGGAGGGGGGTGAGACTCGTCGGTGAGACGTTGAAAAGATCTCTTCTTTCAAGGGAACTCCTTTGCCAGTACCAAGAAATACTAACAGGGGTTCATCTTCTTGGTTCTTTCGGTAAAGTCACGTAGAAGGGAAGTAATAAAATAATAAAAATAAAACATAATAAAATATTTGATTATATTATTTTATTATGTTTTATTTTTATTATTTTATTACTTCCCTTCTACGTGACTTTACCGAAAGAACCAAGAAGATGAATCCCTGCAGTCACGAAAGCTTTAAATCGAAAATTTATTATGTTTTATTTTTATTCTTTTATTACTTCCCTTCTACGTGACTTTACCGAAAGAACCAAGAAGATGAATCCCTGCTGCAGTCACGAAAGCTTTAAATCGAAATTTTACTAATAGGGGTTTTCCCCTTTTTTCTGGCAACAAAACTGACACCTTTTGCAAGGCATCATGCTTACATTAACCACAATACTTGCAGTCAAATGCAAACAAAAAACAATACTCTGATCATTTATGCATTGTCTTTGCAACTGATTGGTCCACACCAGAGACAGCTTTCTTTGGAGCCTAGTCTCATATGGTGTTGGACCAGATGACGCCAAAAGGCGCACAGTTCAAAGACAATGCACTACCAGAGTAATGAGAGCTCGGGGTGAGCAGCTACATCATCGGACCTCCTTTGCCAGTACCAAAATATACTAATAGGGGTTTTCCCCTTTTTTCTGGCAACAAAACTGACACCTTTTGCAAGGCATCATGCTTACATTAACCACAATACTTGCAGTCAAATGCAAATGTAGTGACATAAGAAGGGAGGGGCTGCTGTAGGCTCTGGGTTCCCAGGTGGGGCCAGACGCGTAAGCCTCTGGGCGCCAGGCACTGGGTTCCCAGGGGGTCCAGACGCTTAAGCCTCTGGGCGCCAGGCGTTGGGTTCCCAGGCGCTTAAGCCTTTTTGGCGCCGCCAACGGGGGGGGGGGGGGGGGGGGGCTGTGTGTGCTCTGTGGGATGTCTGGTGGCGCACACGGCCCCACCCCTCGTCGGACCAGGCATAAAAGGAGAGCTCCCTGGACGATCGGGGCCCAGTTGTAACTCAAGACCCACGACCAGCCATCTGAAGACCCTGGGTTGCTGTGAGAGCCAGCGCTGGGACTCTGGAACTCCCGACTCTACGACCTTGTGAGGGCGAGCGTAGCCAGAGTAGAGTATCTAGAGTATCTAGGCTGTGTAGCTAGGCTGTGTACCTAGGCTGTAACAGAGTATCAGGACTGTTGGAGTGTTGTATTGTAATAAAGAAGTTAAATCTACAAGTGTCTCCGGAACCCGTTACACAAACAAAAAACACAACTCTGATAATTTATGCAGGCAATCAGTTTCAAAGACAATGCATAAATTATCAGAGTATTGTTTTTTATTTGCATTTGACTGCAAGTATTGTGGTTAATGTAAGCACGATTCCTTGCAAAAGGTGTCAGTTTTATTGCCAGAAAAAAGGGTAAACCCCTATTAGTAAGATATCTTCTGTTCGTGTGCGTGTGTGTGTATACGTGCATTTGCGGGGAGCGGTAGTGGGTTGTAGTTGGTGGTGGTGGCTGCGTAGGTTGTAGAATGTAGATGGCACAGTGATACCTCGGTTCACGAATTTAATTCGTGAACTGACTCTGGTCGCGAACCGAATTGGTCGTAAACCGAGGCACATTTTCCCACAGGGTTCAATGTAAATCCGGTTAATCCGTTCTGATCTTTTTTTTGGTTTTTGAAGCACAAAAATATGAAACAAATTACAATACACATTAGTACTGTACAGTATAGTAATGTATAAAGAGAGAACACTAACCTTGCTTGAGATGACTTTAGTAAGCACTCAAACGGGTGAACTGTACAATACAGTAAGTACAGTATTGTACAGTACAGTAGTACAGTACAGTACTGTATGTGCTAAAAAGCACACCAAAAAGCAAAAAGTCACTGAAAGTGTCTTCACAGTACTCACAGTACTTCTTTCTGTGTCTCTTCTTCTCTCCACGATCTTCCTACAGGAAGTCACGACCACGTGACAGCCTGGAAATAGCATTAAAATGGCCGCGGCTCCTGTTCGTGAACCGGAGCGTATTTTTATGAACTTTTCTGTTCGTGAACCGAGTTGTTCGTGAACAGAAGCAGAGTTCGTGAACCGAGTTGTTCGTGAACAGAAGCGTTCGTGAACCGAGGTATCACTGTTTGCTGGTGGTTGGGTGAGTTATGTTGGTGATTGTGTCGTGAGTGGTGGTGGGTTATGGGAGCAGTAGTGTAACGGTTAGCGCTATGCCGTGCGACGAAACCGCCGATGGAAGTTCAATTCCCGCTCACTGCCGCCAATACCATTGACGAGTATCTGAAGAGGTCCTGGGCCTCCCCTAAGTCCACCCAGCCTCAAATGAGTATCTGATGCAATGTGTAAACAATGCCGCAAGGGAGACAAAGGCTGGCTGAGCGTGGTGTTGACCAACAACTGCCTCCTGTGCCATGCCGGCTTTCATAGGTGCTAACTAACAGCACTTGCCCGAGCAGCTTGTTAAAGGCTATACGGGTGATCTTAATCTTTTTCCATTATTCTTACTACACTCGTTCAGCCAGGAAGTCTCACTTAGTCTAAGTTTTTATGATAGTAATTACGCTTCCTTATCCCAGGAAAATTCTAGAAGGCAAGTCCCCCCTTAACACGTGGCGTTCACAAGACGCGTTTTCCCTTGAACGCGGTTTTGCTTTCTATGGAACGTTTGTCGCTTCACGGGACGGACTGACTACTCACTACAATGCGAGTCTAGTGAGTGACAAACGACGTGGGTGTTGGCAACGTTGGTTAGTGATACTAGGAGCTGGTACTGTAGTACCATAGTACTATTACTGTAGTACTAGAGTACTCGTCCTGCTGTTCTGGTGTGAGCTGTGATACACGGAGTGCCTTTCTCTTCTTCAGTCTATGTTGCGGCATCTTTGTGTATAGAGCGTTATTTCCCTCCCTTGTCCTTTTTCATTCGCCATCTCTCTCTATCCGTCTCACAGACTTTGTATGTAAATAAACGATAGCCACACATTGCATATTTTTTCTAAATACGATATAAAACACAACACATTTAGCAAAAAAGAAACATTTAAAACAAGTGTACTGTCAAATTATAACGATAGTTAATGGAACGGCACCCCCACTTGAAAAGGTATCTGTACATTTCAAAGCGTAATGTGCGTGTGTGCGCGTGTGTGTGTGTGCGCGTGTGCGTGTGTGCGCGTGTGCGTGTGTGCGTGTGTTTGCGAGTGTCTCAGACCGTGACTGGCAGGCTGGGGTGTCTCCCCTTCTTCACGGGGTAACTACTGGCAAACATCGTGGGGACCTGCGTCTCGTTGGTTGGACTCAGGTGGAACGGCCTCGGACTCGTAGACTCAACCTGGAAGGGTTTCAGCCACTTACCTGCTCAGGTAAGAGAGTGGTAAAGGGGGGTGGGGTCGAGGGGGGGGACCAGGTCAGTCCGTGGAGTTATGTATACAGACAGGCCTCGACTTACAAACACCCAACTTACGATCATCTGCACTAACGAACCAGCTTCCATTAGAAATATATATATTTTTAACGGTGACACAAAACGCGAACTCGCACAGGCAAACTGAACTGCGGAACTATTTTGTTCAGCGGAGCGATCCTCCTCGACATTTAATGAGTCTGTGTGTGTGTATTCGTGTGTGTGTGTGTCTGTTTGTGGGGAGCCATAGTGCAATGGTGAGCGATCCAAGTTCGATTCCCGCTCACGACTAAAACCAGTGACGATTATCCCAATGGGTTTTGGGCCTCCCGACTCAGCTTCAAATGAGTACCTGGTGCGATGTGTGGAAATGGACACTTGAGAGACAAAGGCTGTCGGGCATGCTGCTGTCCACCCACCCCCTCGTGTGCTGTGCCGGCTTTGATCGGTGCTCGCTAACAACACTTTCCCCAACAACCTGTGAAGGCTATACAGGGGATCTTTGTCTTGCGTGTGTGCATGTGTTCCCCTGTGTGTGTGTTTGTCTTGTCATCTCGGGCTATGCTCGTGGTTTATGATATCCAAGGCAGCCATTTTATCATCTCAGGCTGTGCTCGTGGTTTATGATAGCCAAGGCGGCCATTTTGTCATCTCAGGCTGTGCTCGTGGGTTATGATATCCAATGCGGTCATTTTGTCATCTCAGGCTGTGCTCGTGGTTTATGATAGCCAAGGCGGCCATTTTGTCATCTCAGGCTGTGCTCGTGGGTTATGATATCCAATGCGGTCATTTTGTCATCTCAGGCTGTGCTCGTGGTTTATGATAGCCAAGGCGGCCATTTTGTCATCTCAGGCTGTGCTCGTGGGTTATGATATCCAATGCGGTCATTTTGTCATCTCAGGCTGTGCTCGTGGTTTATGATAGCCAAGGCAGCCATTTTATTATCTCAGGCTGTGCTCGTGGTTTATGATATCCAAGGCAGCCATTTTGTCATCTCAGGCTGTGCTCGTGGGTTATGATATCCAAGGTGGCCATTTTGTCATCTCAGGCTGTGCTCGTGGGTTATGATATCCAATGCGGTCATTTTGTCATCTCAGGCTGTGCTCGTGGTTTATGATAGCCAAGGCAGCCATTTTATTATCTCAGGCTGTGCTCGTGGTTTATGATATCCAAGGCAGCCATTTTGTCATCTCAGGCTGTGCTCGTGGTTTATGATATCCAAGGCAGCCATTTTATTATCTCAGGCTGTGCTCGTGGTTTATGATAGCCAAGGCAGTCATTTTGTCATCTCAGGCTGTGCTCGTGGTTTATGATATCCAAGGCAGCCATTTTATCATCTCAGGCTGTGCTCGTGGTTTATGATATCCAATGCGGCCATTTTGTCATCTCAGGCTGTGCTCGTGGGTTATGATATCCAATGCGGTCATTTTGTCATCTCAGGCTGTGCTCGTGGGTTATGATATCCAAGGCAGCCATTTTATCATCTCAGGCTGTGCTCGTGGTTTATGATAGCCAAGGTGGCCATTTTGTTCCTCGGTCTGCCTTACCCTTGAAGAAAATGGCGCTCACAATAAAGAGCTGCAGATCGGCGGGAAGCTCTTTGATGAAGTCTGGGATGTGTCCTTCTGTCTTTTCGGCCACCCACTTATTTATCAGTGCCACGTCTTCCTTCACGTTCCCGATCAAGTTCTGCGGTTTCGCTTTGTGGTACTTCTCCACCGCGTCGAGAAATTGCTGCTTGATTTTGGCATCTGGTGGAAAAATTTTGATCAAGAAACAACAAGGCAAATCAAACCTGTCAAGGGAGTGCCCACGTTCTGGATGAACTTTGATTAAAACTCTGTACGAGAAGAAATGTCATCTCATATTCTTGGTTCTTTCGGTAAAGTCATGGACTCGTCCATCTGAACAACTGCCAAAATCGCTGTCCGTGGTGCTGACATTAAGAAAAATTAACCCGTAAAAACGAGGTTTTTCACTATAAATCCTTTATATGCGTGGCGGCTAGAGTCCTCTCGTCCTCTGGCTTGAGATGGCTGCTACCTATGGGTCAGATGATTGTCTGGCAGCATTAAGCAATTGGTAATTAAATATTTAAATTTTTTCCCTAAACAGTGTAAAATTTTTATTTTTTTTTCACGAAAATTGATTGTCACGCACAACGAGTCTGTGTGCAAAATGTCAGCTCGATTTGATCACGGAAAGTGGGTTAAAAAACGACCGAAAGATTTGCATGGTCGTAAGCGCGCAAGCAAGCAAGCAAGTGAACTTAATATAAAGGATTTATAAAAAACGGCACTTTTTTCAAATTTTCTTGCTGTGTTTTTCACACCTGATGATGTTTGCCTGTGTTGCATTCGAAACGTCGTGAACATTTTATTGTTTTATATTTTTATTATTTTATTGTTCCTCTTCTACGTGACTTTACTGAAAGAACCAAGAATATGAATCCCTGCAGTCACGAAAGCTTTAAATCAAAATTGGATCTCGTTCTGGTTTTATGAGCCACTGCCATTATCTCTGAGCCATTATAAATGTTCACGTGTCTTACATGAACATACAATGTCCGTGGAGAGCTGTAGCACAGTGGTTAGTGCTCTGTGTTACGAACCCTGCGAGTTGAGTTTAAATCCCTGTCACGGCTAACATCAGTTGTGAGTGATATCTGAACTTGCCTGAATGGTGAAGTGTTAACTATCCAGCAACCGCACATGGGGCCAACACTGCATTGGGAGGACTCATACAGCAGTGGATTCAACAATGGCCAAATAATAATCAGAAGCAGGCTTCTGCTTTATATTGGTTCTTTCTAGAGGATTAACTCTTCACCCCCTTAGAAAAACATATTTAGACGAATGTTAGATTTAGGGAAAAAAAAATCATAACCGAAGTTAAAAAGAGACAAATGTTAAAGATTTAGTTTCCAAGATTTTTGGCTTTTCAAGGATGGACTCCACTCCATTTGTGCTACATCTGAGCTCTCTAAGCCCTTTTTAGAACATTTTTCTTAATTAATTACAGCAGTCACCAGAGGTCGTAACCGGGTACCCGATATCCGTACCCGACCCGATACCCGGCTACCCGTACCCGGCCGGGTACGGGTAGCCGTTTGCGACCCTGGTGTGGCCGGGTACGGGTAGTCAGTGAGTCACCGGTGAGTAACCGTTTGTCACTCATTTCCCAACGTCTTGTCTCTTCTCCCAATTCAAGTTCCTAGAATCAACCCACCCGCGCCTGCAACATGGCTTCATCCCAGAGGTCGCAATCAGGTACCCGATACCCGTACACTACCCGTACCCGGCCGGGTATGGGTAGGGTACGGGTACGGCCGGGTACGGGTACCCGTTTGCGACCCTGGTGCGGTCGGGTACGGGTACGGGTAATGAATCAAAACCCGTTGGCGACCTCTGGCAGTCACTCACCCTTCTCGTCATTTGTGAGTATTATATCTATGCGAGACATTGGAGACCAGGCTGTGACCTTCAACTTGCTGCGATCGAGAACCCAGTTTAGTGACAGGAGGCTGAATCCCCAGATTCTAACCAAATATCTCAGTGGTGCCAGCTGCGTTTCTGACTCCCGAACCTCCCAAACTTTTCTTCTTGGTTCTTTCGGAAGAGTCCACTGGTTTACAGAGTGGATAGAAATTCCACCCACTGCACATACGAGTAATGTTTATTGCATGACAATCAAATTTAGATATTTTTTTTCAGAGCTCACTTAAGCGACATAAGTACAGATCACAATAAATGTGATATTTTTTGTTTTGCAGTCCATTGGTAACTGAGCTAAAACCATCAACTCGCTAACACTTTAGAACCCAGTTTAACGACAGGAGGCTGAATGCCCAGATTATAACTCAGGATTTCGGCCGTGCAGGCTCAGTGTCTCTGAGACTTTGTAAGCGATTCCCACATCATCACTAACCTTTGGCGGTGAAGATGCGGGCAGCGATGTTGGTGCTGTCATGGCCATGGTGCAGTTTTGAAATCAGTGCTTGGAAAGAGGCCTGGGGATTCGGGTCACGGAGGAATTGTAGACGCAGGGCGTTGGTGAGCTGAGTCTCTGTCTGATGGGCCGTGCCTAAGAGGCTCAGAGTGAGCAGCACGAGACAGGAGGAGAGAGAGTTCGGGGATTAGTTTCACAATAATGATGGTTGCAGAGTATGGCTCAAATTAAATGTGAGGCAAAACAATTAACCAGCACGAGTTCATTTAACAACACACAAAGATGCACGTTGCATGTCCAAAAAGCACTCAGCCTTGTCCAGAACACCAGCTCAAAATAACTTAATGCGTGCCCATTTTTGTGTTTTAGAACCCCTGACTCATGGAGTTCAGAAAATGTGGCCACCCAACAGGCAGTGAAATAAAGACAGAGCTGTCGGCAGAATGCATCTTCACTAGGACCCATCAGGGCAATTTACTACAACAATGAGCCAATAATGTCCGTGTGTCCCGCGCGTGACGTCACACACTTATTCTGGCATAAGGTATTCCAACGATTTTAATGTAATTTTGGGGTGCTGATTCCAAATCTGGCATCAGTTTTTTGTCTATCACATCAGGTTTTTGAGATATCAAATATTGCATTTTTAATAAAACTGCAGAAGAAAAATATTAAATAAATGTGTACATCTACATAAAATTATATTATAAACACACTATCCTAAAAATACAGCACCATATTTTAACACTAAAGCAGTCACTGACTCGCAACAACTTGCAATCATAAGTGACAGAGTTAATTTCGGGTAAAATCAATGAAAATGGGGTATGCCGATAGCATAAAAATGAGATGTGATAAAGCAAATCTGAGATCAGATTTGGAATCGGCACCCTGAAATTAGTCTAGAACACCTGCAAAAGTCCAGGCCAGATAAACATGTTTTATTTGTTGACCAGTGCAATTAGTGTGCTTGGGGCAGTACACGTCACTGACAGTGCCGGATGAAGCTAGTGCGAGGCCTGTAGCATTTGTTATAAAGAGGCCCTAAATATAAAACAAGTATAACCCGTAAAAACAAAGTTTTTCACTATAAATCCTTTATATGCGTGGCAGCGAACTTAATATAAAGGATTTAAAAATATATTCGCCTGTGGAGGACGCGGGGATCGATCCCGCGACCTTTGGCATGGGAAGCGAGGGCGCTACTAACTGCGCTACTCCGCCACAGCTTGTGGAGGGGTTACGGTCTGGGCTCTTATACTGTGACGTTCAGCCAAAGCCAAGAATGAGTTCTATTTGAATATATGTAAAATATTTTTTTTTGCCTAAAAAGTGTAAAATTTTGGGAATTTTTTTTCACGAACATTAATTGTCTGACACAACGAGTCTGTGTGGAAAATATCAGCTCGATTGGATCACGGGAAGTGGGTTAAAAAACGACCGAAAGATTTGCACGGTCGTAAGCAAGCACGCAAGCACGCAAGCATGCGAACTTAATATAAAGGATTTAAAAACACTTGCATTTTCCAACACATACATTTTAAACTTGCATAGTAAACGATTTTTTTCATTTGCTATACAGCCAGATATAACGACAAATCGCTAGCCTTAAAAGCCCCAGTCGTTCATAAAAGTTGAAGGCGGTGTAGTACTATAGTAATAGAGCAAGTGCAGAAACACTGAACCGGAATTGATATCACTATGAGACCTCTTTTACCAGTGGCAAAATAAAGTAGTAGGTTTTTACCCTTTTAAACTGGTACAAAACTGACACCTTTATACAAGGCATCGTGTTTGCAACGGAATTGATATCTTGAAAGCATTTAGCGCGGGGCCCTTGAAAGTGCGGGCCATCGCAGCATTTGTAGCTACTTCTGCTACTCAGATCATCCGGCACTGGTCATGGATAGAATTGACCATATTCAATGGTCGAGACTCCTCACAGAGTGGCAGCAGAAATAGGAAGAGGACACCACGAGGAGCCGCATCCGTTATGGAGATGAGTCGATGAGATCGGATCATGCGCACGAGCTGAACGGAATGTTAGATACGTCGCTGACTTCGAGGAGGCATTCATCCAGCGGTGGACTGAGCGTGCCGGGAGCTCCTCTCACCGGCCAGTAGCATCATGAGCGCCGCAGAGGTGGTGAGAGGCGAGAAGAGGACATTCTGGCCCGGTGATGCCTCGCCCAGTTTGTGGAAGAGTTGGAAGCCCAGGTCCGCCTGGGAACCCGCGAGGCGAGACACCACGAACGGAGAGATGGCCTGGGAGGGTGAGAGTGGGAGAGAGGGGACGGTGAGGCGTAGTGTGTGGGGAACGGGGAGCAGTGGTGATGGTGATGGTTATGAGTGTGGTGATGATGAACACTATGAGTGTGGTGATGTTTTCTTGGTTCTTTCGGTAAAGTCACGTAGAAGGGAAGTAATAAAATAATAAAAATATAACATAATAAAATAATTCTCACGACGTTTCGGCCACAACGCAAGCCGAAACGTCGTGAGAATTATTTTATTATGTTATATTTTTATTATTTTATTATTTCCCTTCTATGTGACTTTACCGAATGAACCAAGAAGATGAATCCCTGCAGCCACGAAAGCTTTAAATCGAAATTTAGTGTGGTGATGATTGGTTAAAAATCGATGGTGGTGATGATTTAAAAAATGATGATGATGATGGTTATGAGTGTGATGCTGATGGGTTAAAAATTGATGGTGGTGGTGATTGAAAAAATTATGATGATGATGATGGTTATGAGTGTGATGCTGATGGGTTCAAAATTGATGGTGGTGGTGATTGAAAAAATGATCATGATGATGGTTATGAGTGTGATGTTGATGGGTTCAAAATTGATGGTGGTGATGATTGAAAAAAATGATGATGATGGTTATGAGTGTGGTGATGATGGGTTAAAAATTGATGGTGGTGATGATTGAAAAAAATTATGATGATGATGGTTATGAGTGTGGTGATGATGGGTTAAAAATTGATGGTGGTGATGATTGAAAAAAATGATGATGATGATGGTTATGAGTGTGGTGATGATGAGTTCAAAATTGATGGTGGTGGTGATTGAAAAAAATGATGATGATGGTTATGAGTGTGATGGGTTCAAAATTGATGGTGGTGATGATTGAAAAAATGATGATGATGGTTATGAGTGTGATGCTGATGGGTTAAAATTGATGGTGGTGGTGATTTAAAAAAATGATGATGATGATGGTTATGAGTGTGGTGATGATGAGTTCAAAATTGATGGTGGTGATGATTGAAAAAAATGATGATGACGGTTATGAGTGTGATGTTGATGGGTTAAAAATTGATGGTGGTGATGATTTAAAAAAATGATGATGATGATGATGGTTATGAGTGTGGTGATGATGAGTTCAAAATTGATGGTGGTGATGATTGAAAAAAATTATGATGATGATGGTTATGAGTGTGATGCTGATGGGTTCAAAATCGATGGTGGTGATGATTGAAAAAAATTATGATGATGATGATGGTTATGAGTGTGATGCTGATGGGTTAAAAATTGATGGTGGTGATGATTGAAAAAAATTATGATGATGGTTATGAGTGTGATGCTGATTGGTTAAAAATCGATGGTGGTGATGATTGAAAAAAATTATGATGATGGTTATGAGTGTGGTGCTGATGGGTTCAAAATTGATGGTGGTGGTGATGAAAAAAAATGATGATGATGGTTATGAGTGTAGTGCTGATGGATTCTAAATTGATGGTGGTGGTGATTGAAAAAAATGATGATGATGATGATGGTTATGAGTGTAGTGCTGATAGATTCAAAATTGATGGTGGTGATGATTGAAAAAAAATTATGATGGTTATGAGTGTGATGGGTTAAAAATTGATGGTGGTGATGATTGAAAAAATGATGATGATGGTTATGAGTGTGGTGATGATTGGTTAAAAATTGATGGTGGTGATGATTGAAAAAATGATGATGATGGTTATGAGTGTGGTGCTGATGGGTTCAAAATTGATGGTGATGATTGAAAAAATGATGATGATGGTTATGAGTGTGGAGCTGATGACTTCAAAATTGATGGTGATGATTGAAAAAAATGATGATGATGGTTATGAGTGTGGAGCTGATGACTTCAAAATTGATGATGATGATTGAAAAAATGATGATGATGGTTATGAGTGTGGAGCTGATGACTTCAAAATTGATGGTGATGATTGAAAAAATGATGATGATGGTTATGAGTGTGGAGCTGATGACTTCAAAATTGATGGTGATGATTGAAAAAATGATGATGATGGTTATGAGTGTGGAGCTGATGACTTCAAAATTGATGGTGATGATTGAAAAAATGATGATGATGGTTATGAGTGTGGAGCTTATGGGTTCAAAATTGATGGTGATGATTGAAAAAATGATGATGATGGTTATGAGTGTGGAGCTGATGACTTCAAAATTGATGGTGATGATTGAAAAAATGATGATGATGGTTATGAGTGTGATGCTGATGGGTTCAAAATTGATGGTGATGATTGAAAAAATGATGATGATGGTTATGAGTGTGATGCTGATGGGTTCAAAATTGATGGTGGTGATGATTAAAAAAAATTATGATGATGATGGTTATGAGTGTGGTGCTGATGGATCAAAATCGATGGTGGTGATGATTGAAAAAAATGATGATGATGATGGTTATGAGTGTGATGCTGATGGGTTAAAAATTGATGGTGGTGATGATTGAAAAAAATTATGATGATGGTTATGAGTGTGATGCTGATTGGTTAAAAATCGATGGTGGTGATGATTTAAAAAAATGATGATGATGGTTATGAGTGTGGTGCTGATGGGTTCAAAATTGATGGTGGTGGTGATGAAAAAAATGATGATGATGGTTATGAGTGTGGTGCTGATGGGTTCAAAATTGATGGTGGTGGTGATGAAAAAAAATGATGATGATGGTTATGAGTGTAGTGCTGCTGGATTCTAAATTGATGGTGGTGGTGATTGAAAAAAATGATGATGATGATGGTTATGAGTGTAGTGCTGATAGATTCAAAATTGATGGTGGTGATGATTGAAAAAAATTATGATGGTTATGAGTGTGATGGGTTAAAAATTGATGATGGTGATGATTGAAAAAATGACGATGATGGTTATGAGTGTGATGCTGATGACTTCAAAATTGATGGTGGTGATGATTGAAAAAATGATGATGATGGTTATGAGTGTGATGCTGATGACTTCAAAATCGTTGGTGGTGATTTTTTTAAATGTTGGTAAATCTGATTCTCAAAATGGCGATGCTGATGGTGGTGAAAGTTGAACTCCACATTCTCATAACATGATGCAGTTCGCTGCAGACGCGACCTCTTACCGGCTTCGCCGAGACGGGAGGAGCACCCTGTGAGGGAGGGAGGAAGGGAAGACTGGGATCATGAGGCGAGTTGTAGGATTCCCTATTTATCCAAGAGGTCAAACGCCGGCTCGTTACGACATATAATGCATTGCCTCTGTCGCAAGGGGCGACGTTGATTTACATAAAGCCATTTAGAATACAGCAACATTTTACATTTCGATTTAAAGCTTTCGTGACTGCAGGGATTAATATTATTGGTTCTCTCGGTAAAGTCACGTAGAAGGGAAATAATAAGATAATAAAAATAAAACATAATTAAAACGATCTTAATTTTGGAGCTTTCGTGACTGCAGGAATTATTCTTTGTTTTTTTTCGGTAAAGTCACGTATAAAGATAAATGTATTATTTTATCTTTATACATGACTTTACCGAAAATAACCAAAGAATAATTAAAATGCTCGCGACGTTTCCATTGCAACACAAGCAATCGTCATCAGGTGTGAAAACTACAGCAAGAAAATGTAAGCTGGCTCTCCAACACACTGGTTAGTGCTGTACTAGTATACTACACTAAACACTACACTATATACTACACTATACACTCCACTCCTTTACACTACACTACTATACACTACACGATACACTACTACACTATACACTACACTATACACTACACCAATATACACTACACTATACACTACTATACACTACACTATACACTACACTATACACTACTATACACTACACTATACACTAGTGCTGTACTACACTACACTATACACTACTATACACTACACTATACACTAGTGCTGTACTACACTACACTATACACTACACTATACACTACTATACACTACACTATACACTAGTGCTGTACTACACTACACTATACACTACTATACACTACACTATACACTAGTGCTGTACTACACTACACTATACACTACACTATACACTACTATACACTACACTATACACTAGTGCTGTACTACACTACACTATACACTACTATACACTACACTATACACTAGTGCTGTACTACACTACACTATACACTACACTATACACTACTATACACTACACTATACACTAGTGCTGTACTACACTACACTATACACTACTATACACTACACTATACACTAGTGCTGTACTACACTACACTATACACTACACTATACACTACTATACACTACACTATACACTAGTGCTGTACTACACTACACTATACACTACTATACACTACACTATACACTAGTGCTGTACTACACTACACTATACACTACACTATACACTACTATACACTACACTATACACTAGTGCTGTACTACACTACACTATACACTACTATACACTACACTATACACTAGTGCTGTACTACACTACACTATACACTACACTATACACTACTATACACTACACTATACACTAGTGCTGTACTACACTACACTATACACTACTATACACTACACTATACACTAGTGCTGTACTACACTACACTATACACTACACTATACACTACTATACACTACACTATACACTAGTGCTGTACTACACTACACTATACACTACTATACACTACACTATACACTAGTGCTGTACTACACTACACTATACACTACACTATACACTACTATACACTACACTATACACTAGTGCTGTACTACACTACACTATACACTACTATACACTACACTATACACTAGTGCTGTACTACACTACACTATACACTACACTATACACTACTATACACTACACTATACACTACACACTAGTGCTGTACTCGTGACGAATTGGCCACGTTCTGTTGACGTGACAACCCTCACTAGTTGGCTGTGTCGGGTGGTGGCGGGTTTAACGACACATTATGTATATTTACAGCGATCTAACCCAAAAAAAAACTCTATAATAAACAATATTACATCTGACAAATACAGTCCGTATCTATGGAAAATTGTTTTACAATAATGAATATGTTTTATAATGTTTCATTTTTATTATTTTATTATTTCCCTTCTACGTGACTTTACCGAAAGAACCAAGAAGATGAATCCCTGCAGTCACGAAAGCTTTAAATCGAAAATGAATATGTGGTGAAGCACAATCCGTGATAACTCGTGAGATGCGTACGCAGGCTGAGCAAAGACTAAGGTGCGTTGGTAGCATCTAGAATAATCCAGCAGCATCCCATCTTGTGCGATGACGACGACGATGATGCTATGCCGAGGTAGCCGTACAAACCGCTTATTCCTACTCGCGCGAGCTAGATCCGTTCGCTCGATCGCGTTATATCCAATTCGTATCCGCGTTAGTGAAAAATAAGTATAACCTGTAAAAACAAAGTTTTTCACTATAAATCCTTTATATGCGTGGCAGCGAACTTAATATAAAGGATTTAAAAATATATTCGCCTGTGGAGGACGCGGGGATCGATCCCGCGACCTTTGGCATGGGAAGCGAGGGCGCTACCAACTGCGCTACTCCGCCACAGCTTGTGGAGGGGTTACACTCTGGGCTCTTATACTGTGATGTTCAGCCAAAGCCAAGAATTAGTTATATTTGAATATATGTAAAATATTTTTTTTTGCCTAAAAAGTGTAAAATTTTGGGAATGTTTTTTCACGAACATTAATTGTCTGGCACAACGAGTCTGTGTGAAAAATGTCAGCTCGATTGGATCACGGGAAGTGGGTTAAAAAAACGACCGAAAGATTTGCACGGTCGTAAGCAAGCAAGCATGCACGCAAGCAAGCATGCGAACTTAATATAAAGGATTTAAAAACAAGTGTTCCCTCTTGATGTGAAGCTTTGCCTGATGACGACCGCTAGTGTTGCGATCGAAACGTCGTGATTTGTTTAATTTTATTTGATTTCTAACTGCTTGACTTTACCGAAAGAACCAAAGAATATGTGTTCCCTAATAGATTAATTGCGTGACGTCGCGTGATGAAAACGACGCGTTGTTGGAGAACAGACTTTACAGGCTATGTTAATCACTTTAATTCTAGATTTGAAGCTTTCGTGACTGCAAAGATTCATACTCGTAGGTTTTTCGGTAAAGTCACGTAGGTAAAAATAAAATAAAATAAATAAAATATTAATAATAATATAAATAATAATATAAATAAAATAATAAATTACGACGTTTCGAAGGCAACACAAGTCTCCGTCATCAGGTGGGGCCGTCACAGCTGAATTTACTGTATTAAGTGAGGAAAAATCCAAGAAACAAACCTTTGGAATGCAGAGAAGATCTGCATCACAATTGATGGTGGTGGTGGTGATTTAATGATGGTTGATGCTGATTATCAAAATGGCAAAGGTGGTAGTACACCAATTTCAAAAAGCTGTTGATTCTCTCTTCAACACACCGGTGGGCTAAAGAAGTGAATCATTTTGTCGTTTGAAAAAACGTGACACATTTTTTACTCTTTGACCGTGTCGGGTGGTTGAGGGTTACGACACATTTATAAATAACGCGATCCGACCCAGAAATCGTTGATTATGAATCATATTGGTCGCAAAAGCCTGCTACGTGTTAAACTGAGTGAAAAATATGATAATTGGTGTTTTACCCTTCTATCTGGCAACAAAACTGACACCTTTTTTACGAGGAGTCATGTTTGCATAGACCACAATACCTGCAGTCGTAATGCAAACAAAAACACAACTCTGATAATGTATGTGCACTGTCCTTGAAGTTGATTGGTCCACACCCGAGACAGCTTTCCTTAGAGCCTAGTCTCACTTGGTGTTGGACCAGATGACGCCAAAAGGCGCACAACTCAAAGACAACGCACCATCAGAGTATGAGAGCTCGGGGTGAAGCATTTACACCATTGGAACCTCATTTGCCAAAATAAAAAATATGATAATTGGTTTTTTACCCTTTTATCTGGCAACAAAACTGACACCTTTTTTACGAGGAGTCATGTTTGCATTATGGCTGCAGGTATTGTGGTCTATGCAAACATGACTCCTCGTAAAAAAGGTGTCAGTTTTGTTGCCAGATAAAAGGGTACAAAAACCAATTATCATACTGAGTGAAGTTTAACTCTACGTTCTGATGACGGGATCCACTTTGCAACAGACATGACCTCTTACCGGCTTCACCGAGATGGGAGGGGCGGCCTGTGAGGTCACGGGGGGGGGGGGGGCAGAAGGGAAGGGAAGGGAGTGGGATGGTGAGGCAAGTCATAGATCTGCGATGTATCCAAGATCTGAAATACCGGGCTCGTTGTGACATATGATGCATTGCCTCTTTCGTGATTTACATCAAGACATTTACAATGCAACAGAGTAAAAGACTACAACACAACATGAGGATACGTTTTCCCATTTTTTTTCTGGCAACAAAACAGCTGTGTTAAGATTTTGATTGAAAGCTTTCGTGACCGCAGCAGGGATTCGTATGGTTGGTTCTTTCGGTAAAGTCATCACGGAGAAGGGAAATAATAAAATAATAAAAATAAAACATAATCAAATACAATTCTCACGACGTTTCGGCCACAACGCAAGCAGCCGTCCTCAGGTGAAGAACAGGTCTGTCGGAAAGACAGCGTCATTCACTGACAGCCATTCAGACGCTGTCTTTCCGACAGACCTGTTCTTCATAGACTCACACAGACACCCACAGACACATCACACAGAGACCCATAGACTCACACAGAGACACACAGACTCACATGGAGACACACAGACTCACACAGAGTCCCACAGACTCACATAGAGACCCATAGACTCACACAGACACCCATAGACACACACAGAGACCCATAGACTCACACAGAGACCCATAGACTCACACAGAGACCCATAGACTCATACAGAGACACACAGACTCACACAGAGACCCATAGACTCACACAGAGGCCCATAGACTCACACAGAGACACACAGACTCACACAGAGACCCACAGACTCACACAGAAACACACAGACTCACACAGAGACCCATAGACTCACACAGAGACACACAGACTCACACAGAGACCCACAGACTCACACAGAGACCCATAGACTCACACAGACACCCATATACACATCACACAGAGACCCATAGACTCACACAGAGACCCATAGACTCACATAGACACCCATAGACTCGCACAGAGACCCATAGACTCAGACAGAGACCCATAGACTCACACAGAGACACACAGACTCACACAGAGACCTATAGACTCACACAGAGACCCACAGGCTCACACAGAGACCCACAGACTCACACAGAGACCCATAGACACACACAGAGACCCATAGACACACACAGATACCCATAGACACACACAGAGACCCATAGACTCACACAGAGACCTACAGACTCACACAGAGACCCACAGGCTCACACAGAGACCCACAGACTCACACAGAGACCCATAGACTCACATAGAAACCCATAGACTCACATAGACACACATAGACTCACACAGAGACCCATAGACTCGCACAGAGACCCATAGACTCATCACATAGAGACCCACAGACTCACACAGACACCCATAGACTCACACAGAGACCCACAGACTCGCACAGAGACTCATAGACTCATCACACAGAGACCCACAGACTCACACAGAGACCCATAGACTCACACAGAGACCCACAGACTCACACAGAGACACACAGACTCGCACAGAGACCCATAGACTCATCACACAGAGACCCATAGACTCATCACACAAAGACCCACAGACTCACACAGAGACCCATAGACTCACACAGAGACCCACAGACTCACACAGAGACCCATAGACTCACACAGAGACCCATAGACTCATAGAGACCCATAGACTCACACAGAGACTCGTCGATTCACACAGAGACCCACAGACTCACACAGAGACCCATAGACTCATCACACAGAGACCCACAGACTCACACAGACACCCATAGACTCACACAGAGACTCGTCGATTCACAAAGAGACCCAAAGACTCAATCGGTCGTGTTAGTTCACAACCGCTCGGCACAGACCCACGATGCTTCACTCACCGGCTTTGTGCGCCCGTGATGGTCCGCGACTCCCAGGGAGAGAATGGCGATGAGGAGTGACACGTAGAGAGGGGAGAGGCGAGCCATGGTGACGGTCGCTCTACACACACAGGGAAGGCGTGGGATGACAGAGGGACACAGGGAGAGACGGGGTTATTGTAGCTGTCCTGGTTTTAGCGTATTGGTTTAGCCATGTTTGTTTGTTGTAGTACAGAGTTAGACTGATGGCCTTAATCTAAGTTGTCTTGTGGTTGTTGTTGTTGTTGTTTGACTTGCATCTCACTGGGATTTTTGCACACAGCGTTGGTGTGTAACGGTGATTTTTTTCTGCAATATTTTGCTGCCTTTTCTTGGATTTTCTGTTCGCACTCAGTCACATATATTCACTTTAAGATGTTTTCTTGTTCATGTTTTTGGTTTTTTGTTTGTTGCGGTTGCACCCGATTCAAGAGCCGAATGGCTCACAGAGCTACACCTAATACTTGAACTTGAGGAGGCAAGTTGTACTCATCTCGTCAAGGAGCATAAAGCATCGTGCGACACCCGGTCATCCTCGCAGCAGAGGTCGCAACCGGGTACCCGATACCCGTACCCTACCCGATACCCGTACCCTACCCAATACCCGCACCCTACCCAATACCCGTACCCTACCCAATACCCGTACCCTACCCGATACCCATACCCTACCCGATACCCGGACCCTACCCGATACCCGTACCCTACCCGATACCCGTACCCTACCCGATACCCGTACCCTACCCAATACCCGTACCCTACCCGATACCCATACCCTACCCGATACCCGGACCCTACCCGATACCCGTACCCTACCCGATACCCGTACCCTACCCGATACCCGTACCCTACCCAATACCCGTACCCTACCCGATACCCGTACCCTACCCGATACCCGTACCCTACCCGATATTCGTACCCTACCCGATACCCGTACCCTACCCGATACCCGTACCCTACCCGATACCCGTACCCTACCCAATACCCGTACCCTACCCAATACCCGTACCCTACCCGATACCCGTACCCTACCCGATATTCGTACCCTACCCGATACCCGTACCCTACCCGATACCCGTACCCTACCCGATACCCGTACCCTACCCGATACCCGTACCCTACCCGATACCCGTACCCTACCCAATACCCGTACCCTACCCGATACCCGGCTACCCGTACCCGGCCGGGTACGGGTAGCCGTTTGCGACCCTGGTGCGGCCGGGTACGGGTACGGGTAGGCCGTGAGTCACTGGTGAGTAACCGTTTGTCACTCATTTCCCAACGTCTTGTCTCTTCTCACAATTCAAGTTCCTAGAATCAACCCACCCGCGCCTGCAACATGGCTTCATCCCAGAGGTCGCAATCGGGTACCCGATACCCGTACCCTACCCGTACCCGATACCCGGCTACCCGTACCCAGCCGGGTACGGGTAGGGTACGGGTACGGCCGGGTACGGGAACGGGTACCCGTTTGCGACCCTGGTGCGGCCGGGTACGGGTAAGGAATCAAAACCCGTTTGCGACCTCTGGATAAGCAGCAGCCGCTTTTGTTTAACCATCGAGCAAAGACGATCAGCGCATCGCGCGCCTTGAGATGCGCTTTTGTGGCCGTCTGGAACGTTCTTCTATCCGATATTCGGGATGCCACTGGAGCAATGCATTTAAAAGCATCAACATTGAGAAGTCACGTAGAAGGGAAATAATAAAATAATAAAAATAAAACATAATAAAATAATTCTCACGACAGACCTGGTCTTCACCTGAGGACGGCTGCTTGCGTTGTGGCCGAAACGTCGTGAGAATTATTTTATAATGTTTTATTTTTATGATTTTATTATTTCCATTCTACGTGACTTTACCGAAAGAACCAAGAAGATGAATCCCTGCAAGTCACGAAAGCTTTAAATCGAAATTTTATTACGTTTTATTTTTATTATTTTATTATAATTAATTTTTTTATTTAATTATGTTTTATTTTCATTATTTTATTATGTTGTATTTTTATTATTTTATCATTTCCCTTCTACGTGATGACTTTACCGAAAGAACCAAGAAGATGAATCCCTGCTGCAGTCACGAAAGCTTTAAATCGAAATCTGTCTGTTGTTGTTGTATCCTCAAAACTTGGAACTCAATTTTAACCCACTTCCCAATGTGGTATCGACTGCAAACTCGGTATACTTGTGTCATACTGATGACAATACTATATTCTATCATAAAAAATACAAAATGTATATTTGTAAACATTATTTTGTATATGTTATGTTTCGGCTTGGGTCTAATTTTCCACGCTCAACTAACGTTGTGGCAAACTTCGGGGCCACTTCCTGGAGTCGTGGAGTTCTGTTTTTAAATGTTACTTATGTAATGGTATGATATAGTATGACGTGAAAGTGCTGCATAGACAGTCGGGTCTCGTTTAACGCGCTAGTAGTAGATGTGGTCCTGAAAAATTCCGTGTTAAGTGAAAACTATTTCCCCGTAAACAATGCAACGATAAAGTTTGGCGAGATATGATGTACTCCTACAGACACGCGGTAAGATGGACATGCTGCCACTGCGTTAGTGTGTCATTTCGCGTTACCCTACCACTCACACAGAGACCCACAAACTCATCACACAGACACCCATAGACTCATCACACAGAGATCCGTAGACTCATCACACAGACCCATAGACTCATCACACAGAGACCCATAGACTCATCACACAGAGACCCATAGACACATCACACAGAGACCCATAGACACATCACACAGAGACCCATAGACTCATCACACAGAGACCCATAGACTCATCACACAGAGACCCATAGACACATCACACAGAGACCCATAGACAAATCACACAGAGACCCATAGACACATCACACAGGGACCCATAGACTCATCACACAGAGACCCATAGACTCATCACACAGAGACCCATAGACACATCACACAGAGACCCATAGACTCATCACACAGAGACCCACAGACTCATCACACAGAGACCCATAGACTCATCACACAGAGACCGATAGACTCATCACACAGAGACCCATAGACTCATCACACAGAGACCCATAGACTCATCACACAGAGATCCGTAGACTTGTACAAAGACCTATAGACTCATCACACAGACCCATAGACTCACTCACACAGAGACCCACATACTCATCACACAGAGATCCGTAGACTCGCACACAGACCCATAGACTCATCACACAGAGACCCACAGACTCACTCACACAGAAACCCATAGACTCATCACACAGAGACCCATAGACTCATCACACAGAAACACATAGACTCATCACACAGAGACCCACAGACTCATCACACAGAGACCCATAGACTCATCACACAGAAACCTATAGACTCATCACACAGACCCATAGACTCACTCACACAGAGACCCATAGACTCATCACACAGAGACCCATAGACTCATCACACAGAGATCCATAGACTCATCACACAGAGATCCATAGACTCATCACACAGAGACCTACAGACTCATCACACAGAGACCCGTAGACTCACCACACAGAGACCCATAGACTCACCACACAGAGACCCATAGACTCACCACACAGAAACCCACAGACTCACCACACGGAGACCCACAGACTCACCACACAGAGACCCACAGACTCACCACACAGACCCACAGACTCACCACACAGACCCATAGACTCACCACACAGAGACCCATAAACTCACCACACAGAGACCCACAGACTCATCACACAGAGACCCATAGACTCATCACACAGAGACCCATAGAATCATCACACAGAAACCCATAGACTCACCACACAGAGTCCCATAGACTCACCACACAGACCCATAGACTCATCACACAGAGACCCACAGACTCATCACACAAAGACCCGTAGACTCACCACACAGAGACCCATAGACTCACCACACAGACCCATAGACGCATCACACAGAGACCCACAGACTCATCACACAAAGACCCGTAGACTCACCACACAGAGACCCATAGACTCACCACACAGACCCATAGACTCATCACACAGAGACCCGTAGACTCATCACACAGAGACCCATAGAGTCATCACACAGACCCATAGACTCATCACACAGAGACCCATAGACTCATCACACAGATACCCATAGACTCATCACACAGAGACCCATAGACTCATCACACAAAAACCCATAGACTCATCACACAGAGACCCATAGACTCATCGCACAGAGACCCATAGACTCACCACACAGAGACCCATAGACTCACCACACACAGACCCACAGACTCACCACACAGAGACCCATAGACTCACCACACAGAGACCCATAAACTCACCACACAGAGACCCACAGACTCATCACACAGAGACCCATAGACTCATCACACAGAATCCCATAGACTCACCACACAGACCCATAGACTCATCACACAGAGACCCACAGACTCATCACACAAAGACCCGTAGACTCACCACACAGAGACCCACAGACTCATCACACAGAGACCCGTAGACTCATCACACAGAGACCCATAGAGTCATCACACAGAGATCCGTAGACTCATACTAAGACCCATAGACTCATCACACAGAGACCCAAACTCCAAATACACAGCAGGCGTCAGGGTTGGAATTTAACCACAACCACCTTTATTAAAGGCGAGGTTTGTTAACATCTTCTAGCCACCGTGGTGGACCCACAGCTACAACAACCACAGCCACATCCACCACATCCACAGCTTGCCAATGAAGCAGAGGTGACCTTACCAGGTTGATCCCGAGTGAACTTGGCCCGGGATGGACGTTGCCTTTATACACGAGAGAGTGGGTGGGCGGAGTGAGGGTTGGAGGTAGGGAGAGTGGGGGGTGTAAGGGTGGGTGGGAGGGAGAGTGGGGGGGGGGGAGTAAGGGTGGGAGGGAGGGAGAGTGGGGGGGGAATGAGGGTGGGAGGGAGGGAGAGTGGGGGGGGGGAGTAAGGGTGGGAGGGAGGGAGAGTGGGGGGGGAATGAGGGTGGGAGGGAGGGAGAGTGGGGGGGGGAGTGAGGGTGGGAGGGAGAGTGGGGGGGGAGTGAGGGTGGGAGGGAGAGTGGGGGGGGAGTGAGGGTGGAAGGGAGGGAGAGTGGGGGGGGAGTGAGGGTGGGAGG